AGAAAATTAAAGTAGACAAAAATAAATGGAAAGTATCCCATGTTAATATATTGGAAGAATTAATGTGATTAAAATGTTCATACTATGCAAAGCCATCAATAGCTTCAAAAAAATCCCTATCAAAATTCCAGTGGTAGTTTCCACAGAAATAGAAGAAGCAGTCCTAAAAGTCACAGTTCCTAATTTCAAACTATACTAGTAAAAACACCATGGTAGTGGCATAAAAATAGAAACATAGACCCATGGATCAGAATTGAGAGCCCAGAAATAACTCTTACATGTATAGTCAACTGATATTTGACAAGGGAGCCAAGAATACTCACTGGGGAAAGGATAAACTCTTTAATAAATGATGTTAGGAAAACGGGAGAATGAAATTGGACCTCTCTCTTATGCCACTCATAAAAATTAAATCAAAATGGATTAAAGACTAAACAAGGTCTGAAACCATAAAACTTCAGTAGAAAATATAGGGGGAAAGTTCCATGACTTGGTCTTGGCAATGATTTTTTTTAATATGACACCCAAAACACAACAAGGGTAAAAATTAGTAAGTGGGACTACATCCAACTAAAAATTCTTTTTTTTTTTTTAAAGATTTTATTCATTTATTTAACAGAGATGACAAGTAGGCAGAGAGGCAGGCAGAGAGAGAGGAGGAAGCAGGCTCCCTGCTGAGCAGAGAGCCCGATGCGGGACTCGATCCCAGGACCCTGAGATCATGACCTGAGCCGAAGGCAGAGGCTTAACCCACTGAGCCACCCAGGCGCCCCCAACTAAAAATTCTGCACAGCAAAAGAAATAATCAACAAAATGAAAAGGCATCTTACAAAATGGGAGAAAATACTCGCAAACCATATATCTGATAAGGCTTAGTGTCCAAAATATATAAACAATTCAATAGCAAAAAAATAAATCCAACTTAAAAAATTATCAGGGGCCTGAATAGACATTTTTCTAAAGAAGACATCTAGGGTAACCTCGGTGTCTTAGTCAGTTAAGCATCTGTCTTCGGCTCAGATCATGATCTCTGGGTCCTGGGATCAAGCCCTATGTCAGGCTTCCTGCTCAGCAGGGAGTCTGCTTCTCTCTCCCCCTCCCCTTCCCCCACTGCCATTCCCCACTGCTCATTCTCTCTCTCCCTCTCTCAAATAAATAAACCTTTAAAAAAATAAGACCTCTAAATAGCCAATATGAAAATGAAAAGATGCTCAACATCCCTGGTCATCAGAAAAATGCAAATCAAAACTAAAATATCACTGTACACTTGTTAAAATGGCTTTCATCAGAAAGATGAGATGTCAAGTGTAGGCAAGAATGTGGAAAAAGGGACCCTTGTGCACTGTTGGTGGGAATCTAAATTAATTCTGCCACTGTGGAAAACAGTATGGAGTTTCCTCAAAAAATTGTAAGTATGGTATGATCCAGCGATCCCACTTCAAAGTTATATATCCAAAGGAAATGAAATAAGGATCTGGAAGAGGGATCTGCATTTCCATGTTCATTGCAGCATGACTCACAATAGCCAAGATAATGGAGACAACCCAAGTGTCCATTGATGGATAAACTGACAAAGAATACATACATACATGGAATATTGTTCATAAGAAAAGGAAATTCAGTCATTTATGACAACATGAATGGACTTTCTTTTAAAGGCTTATTTACTTATTTTAGAGAAACAGCAAGTTGGGGGAGGAACAGAGGGAGAGAATCTTCAAGCAGACTCTGTACTAAGCACAGAGCCCAATGCAGGGCTCAATCCCAAACCCCCCGAGATAATGACCTATCTGAAACCAAGACTTAGATGCTTAACCCACTGAGCCACGCAGGAGACTCACCATGGATGGGCTTTTAAAGGACATTATTCAGGGGTGCCTGGGTGGCTCAGTCAGTTAAACCACTGCCTTTGGCTAAGGTCATGATCCCAGAGTCCTGGGATTGAGTCCTGCATTGGGCTCCTTGCTTGGCAGGGAACCTGCTTCTCTCTCTGCCTCTGCCTGACGCTCTGCCTGCTCGTGCACTCGTGTACTCTCTCTCTCTGACAAATAAATAAATAAATCTTAAAAAAAAAAAAGGACATTATACAAAGGGAAATAAGTCAGACAGGGAAAGAGAAATATGATGTCACTTATATGTGGAATCTAAAAAGCCAAACTCATAAAAACAGAAGAGTAAAATGGTGGTTGCCAGGGGCTGGGTAATGGGGGAAATGGGGAGATGTTGGTCAAAAGATACAAATTTCCAGTTATAAGATGAATAAGTTTGGGGATCTAATATATAGCATGGTAATTGTAATTAATAATACTCTATTATAAATTCAAAAGTTGCTAAGAGAGTAGATATTAAATTTTCTCATGACAAGAAAATAATGGAAAGTGTGTGAGGTGAGGAAGATACTGGCTAACCAAGATGGCCTTCAACAGACATGGATAAAGAAGATGTGGTCCGGGGGCACCTGGGTGGCTCAGTGGGTTAAAGCCTCTGCCTTCAGCTCGGGTCATGATCCCAGGATCCTGTAATCGAGCCCCGCATCGGGCTCTCTGCTCAGCGGGGAGCCTGCTTCCTCTCTCTCTGCCTGCCTCTCTGCCTACATCTGATCTCTGTATGTCAAATAAATAAAATCTTAAAAAAAAAAAAGAAGATGTGGTCCATATACACAGTGGAATATTACTCAGCCATCAGAAAGGATGAATACCCAACTTTTGTATCAACATGGAGGGGACTGGAGGAGATTTGCTAAGTGAAATAAGTAGAGAAAGTCAATTATCATATGGTTTCACTTATGGAACATAAGAAATAGCATGGAGGACATTAGGAGAAGGAAGGGAAAATATCCTCCATGATCGGAGTGGGAGGCGAACCCTGAGAAACTGTGGATTCCAGGAAACAAACTGAGGGTTTTAGAAGGGGAGGGGATGAGGGGGGATGAGTGAGCCCGGTAATGGGTATTAAGGATGGCATGGATTGCACAGAGCGCTGCATGTTATATGCAAACAATGAATCATGGAACACTACATCAAAAACTAATGATGTACTGTATGGTGACTAACATAATAAAAAGATGTTGGCTAACATGACAGTGGTAGTCATTTCACAGCATGTGAGTGTATCAAGTCAATAGATTGTATACCTTAAGTCTAAACAATGTTAAATGTCAATTATATCTCAGTAAAGCTGGGAAATACTTATATTGAAAAAGAAGAAAGGTTTAATATCAATGACCTAAGAAATTAAAAAAGGAAGTAAACCCAAGATAAGCAGAAAGAAGAAAATAACGGAAATTAATGTAGAGAAAACCAGAGAGAAAATTACCAAAGCTATAAGTTGGTTCTTTGTAAAAAGAGTACCCAAATCATTAACCTCTAGCCTGATGGACTAAGGAAGGAAACATCAATTACAGAACAAAAATACCAGAAATAAAAAGCAGTTATTACTGATAGTGTCTAGCAAAGTCTTGAGGAAGAAGTTACACTGATCTTAGACCAATTTCATCGGAGAATGGAGAAGGTTAATACTTCCGAATTCATTTTATGAGTTCAATATTACCTGCTATAAAGACCTGACAAAGACATTACAGGAAAAGACCAATATCCCTTATGAATATAGATATAGAATACTTATAGTTAGATCTGTCAAAGGATGAATAAAAAAAATTTTTCTGGAGAAGAGCCGGTTCAGTATATGGAAGAAACTAAAACTAAGCAAAGAGAGGATAGTGGTTTCAGAAGGTAGTAACATACAACTAGTAAAAGCAAATCTAGATTAAAATACCAGCGAGATTACCTTTTTTCCATCTCTCCAAATGAAAGAGATTTAAAATCATCAGTCGATATTAGAGGAAATGTACACACATTATTGGTGGGAATGTTATACACAACTTCTTGGAGGATGGTTTGGCAATACCTATTAAAAATGAGGATCTTGGGGCACCTGGGTGGCTCAGTGGGTTAAAGCCTCTGCCTTCAGCTCAGGTCATGATCTCAGGGTCCTGGGATCGAGCCCCGCATTGGGCTCTCTGCTTGGCAGGGAGCCTGCTTCCCTTTCTCTCTCTCTGCCTGCCTCTCTGCCTACTTGTGATCTCTGTCTGTCAAATAAATGAATAAAATCTTTAAAAGAAAAAAAAATGAGGATCCTATTGCATGGAGCACTGGGTGTGGTGCATAAACAATGAATCTTGGAACACTGAAACAATAAAATTAAAAAAGAGGATTCAGAGATGCCTCGGTGGCTCAGATGGTTGGACATCTGCCTTCGGCCCAGGTCATGATCCTAGGATCCTGGTATTGAGCCCCTGCTCAGTGGGGAGTCCTCCTTTCTCTCCCTCTGCTGTTCCCCACCCCCCACTTGTGCTCTCTGGCTCTCTCTGTCAAATAAATAAAATAAAAAACTTTGAAAGTGAGGATTCAGTCCAGGTACCTTCCATGTTTAGATCCAGCTTCTGAATATTGGAGAAAGGCAAGTTCAACATAGATGTTCATAATACAGTGTTAGATGTAGGAAAGCAGGTTTCATACTAAACATAAAAAACATGACTCAGTTGTTATGAATTGTATTTATGTGTATGTTCATAGGAGGGGAAAAGACTTAAAAATATAAATAGTGATTGTTTCTGGACCTTGGAATTATATATGATTTTTATGTTCTTCATTTTGCTTGTTGGTGTTACCTGAACTTTAAAATGATGATATAGGGGCACCTGGGTGGCTCAGTGGGTTAAAGCCTCTGCCTTCGGCTCAGGTCATGATCCCAGGATCCTGGGATCGAGCCCCACATCGGGCTCTCTGCTCAGCAGGGAGCCTGCTTCCTCCTCTCTCTCTGCCTGCCTCTCTGCCTAGTTTTTCTCTGTCAAATAAATAAAATATTTTAAAAAATAATAATAAAAAAATAAAAATAAAATGATGATACAGATTGTTTCTGTAGCTAAATAAATAAATAAATGTCATTAAAAGGAAGAAAATTACTTAAGTGGTTAGAGGCACTGCCAGGTTAGCAGATAGTCATGGAAAGAATGTTTTTACCTACTTTGTTTTATTCCTAAATCAGTGCAATTGGTCTTCATTCCCCCTTACTGAAGTCTTTATACTGGCATTTAATGGGTTGGGTTTGTCTTTTCTAGATAACAGATTTAAGCACTAAAAGTCCCTGAAAGAAACCCAGATAAAAACTCTGAAAACTTAAGAAATTATTCTTTTATGTCAAAATCCTACTTTTAGATACAGTTGGAGGTTCATCATCCAAGATACTGCAGAATGGAGTTGTCACCCTGCTGTGTTGCCCTGTCCTGTCTAGAAGGAACTATTCATTGCCCGAAAGAAAAGCACCTTCTCCAGTGCTCATGGATCCCAGCTAGTGGTAAAATGGTTTCTGCACTTCCCCATTTGGTTACTTTTTGGTCTCTCTCTCTAGAGTGAACTTTAGAAGATTCCTGGATACCCATTTCTTTTCAGGTTGCCCTTCCCTTTCTCTGCCCATATCTGTCCCACGTCAACCTGGGTTTCTGGTTCCACTGTGGACTGTAGAAATAATCCTGGGCCCTCAGTTCTTCAGAGTGGAGCATATGCTGGACCAAAAAACCTTTCTCTTAATGTTTCTGATAGCTCCCAGCATATATTTCTGTGATTTATGCTAAGTGGCTCTCTCTCGGGGTAGAAAAAGGAAGAAATATAGGGGTCCTGTGAAACAGGGAAGACTTTACTTCCATAAAGTCAAACCGCATACTAGACCTCTAGGGCCAACATAAGGGTTAATTTTATGTTTGGATGCTCCTAGGCTTTCACAGTGTTGGATGATAATGTACGCTTTGTCTCAGAAAAAAAACTATAATCGCTTAGGGAACTAAAGTTGCATACAGAATTACAACATTTTATACTACACCAAGGGAATATTAGAGACAGTAGAGATGGTTGGATGTGTGTGTGTGTGTGTGTGTGTGTGTGTATTACATATATATATACACACATATATATTTACTAGCTCTGCTGAGAGGGCCAAATAGCAATGACACCCCAGTAGCAGTGGGCATATCTAATGCCCAGATCTTGGTTTCTTTTTCTTTTTTAAATATGTGTTTTTATTAAGCAAACTCTATGCCCAACCTGAGATTAAGAGTCACATGCTCTACTGACTGGGGTACCTAGACCTTGGTTTCTAATTCTGTTGTCTAATAAAAGGAACCAGGCCTCCTTGGAGAAACAGCTGATTCTAGGACTGAAACAGGAAATATACAAGATGAGCCTTGTGTAAGGAAGAACGTAAGGACGAGTGACTGGGTGGCTCAGTCAGTTAAACATCTGACTCTTTTTTTTATTATTATTATTAACATATAATGTATTATTTGCCCCAGGGGTACAGGTCTGTGAATCATCAGGCTTAAACATTTCACAGCACTCACCATAGCACATACCCTCCCCAGTGTCCATAACCCAGCCAACCTATCCCTTCCTCCCCACCTTCCAGCAACCCTCAGTTTGTTTTGTGAGATTAAGAGTCTCTTAGGGTTTGTCTCCCTCCCAATCCCATCTTGTTTCATTTTTCCCTTCTCTACCGCTACAACCCCCTGCCCTCCCTCTTAAATTCCTCATATCAGATCATATGATAATTGTCTTTCTCTGATTGACTTATCTCGCTCAGCATGTTACCCTCTAGTTCCATCCATGTCATCGCAAATGGCAAGATTTCGTTTCTTTTGATGGCTGCATAGTATTCCATTGTGTGTGTGTGTGTGCATGCACATGCATATGTACATATTATATATATATATATATATATATATATATATATATATATATATACTTTCTGTGTATCTTCTTTAACCTTTCTTCTGTTGATGGACATCTGGGTTCTTTCCATAGTTTGGCTATTTTGGACATTGCTGCTATAAACATTCAGATGCACGTGCCCCTTCAGATCACTCCATTTGTATCTTTATGGTAAATACCCAGTAGTGTGATTTCTGGGTCATAAGGTAGCTCTATTTTCAACTTCTTGAGGAACCTCCATACTGTTTTCCAGAGTGGTTGCACCGACTTGCATTCCCACCAGCAGTGGAGGAGGGTTCCCCTTTCTCCACATCCTCGCCAGCATCTGTCATTTCCTGACTTGTTAATTTTAGCCATTCTGACTGGTGTGAGGTGGTATCTCATTGTGGTTTTGATTTGTATTTCCCTGATGCCGAGTGATATGGAGCAGTTTTTCATGTGTCTGTTGGCCATCTGGATGTCTTCTTTGCAGAAATGTCTGTTCATGTCTTCTGCCTATTTCTTGATTGGATTATTTGTTCTTTGGGTGTTGAGTTTGATAAGTTCTTTATAGATTTTTGGTACTAGTCCTTTATCTGATATGTCATTTGCAAATATTTTCTCCCATTCTGTCAGTTGTCTTTTGGTTTTGTTGGCTGTTTCCTTTACTCTACAAAAGCTTTTGATCTTCATAAAGTCCTAATAGTTCATTTTTGTTGTTGTTTCTCTTGCCTTTGGCGTTGTTTCTAGGAAGAAGTTGCTGCAGCTGAGGTCGAAGAGGTTGCTGCCTGTGTTCTCCTCAAGGATTTTGATGGATTCCTTTCTCACATTGAGGTCCTTCATCCATTTGGAGTCTGTTTTTGTGTGTGGTGTAAGGAAATGGTCCAGTTTCATTCTTCTGCATGTGGCTGTCCAGTTTTCCCAACACCATTTGTCGAAGAGACTGTCTTTTTTCTATTGGATATTCTTTTCTGCTTTGTCGAAGATTAGTTGACCATAGAGTTGAGGGTCTATTTCTGGGCTCTTTTCTGTTCCATTGATTTATGTGTCTGCTTTTGTGCCAGTACCATACTGTCTTGATGATTACAACTTTGTAATAGAGCTTGAAGTCTGAAATTGTGATGCCACCAACGTTGGCTTTCTTTTTCAACATTCTTCTGACTATTCAGGGTCTTTTCTGGTTCCATATAAATTTTAGGATTATTTGTCCCATTTCTTTGAAAAAAATTGATGATATTTTGATAGGGATTGCATTAAATGTGTAGATTGCTTTAGGTAGCATAGACATTTTCACAATATTTGTTCTTCCAATCCATGAGCATGGAACATTTTTCCATTTCTTTGTCACTTCCTCAATTTCTTTCATTAGTATTTTATAGTTTTCTGAGTATAGATTCTTTACCTCTTTGGTTAGGTTTATTCCTAGGTATTTTTTTTTGGTTTTGGGTGCAATTGTAAATGGGATCTTTAATTTCTATTTCTTCTGTCTTATGTTGGTGTATAGAAATAAAACTGATTTCTGTGCATTGATTTTATATCCTGACACTTTACTGAATTCCTGTATGAGTTCTAGCAGTTTTGGAGTGGAGTCTTTTGGGTTTTCCACAGAAAGTATCATAGCATCTGTGAAGAGTGAGAGTTTGACTTCCTCTTTGTCGATTTGGATGCCTTTAATTTCTTTTCATTGTCTGATTGCTGAAGCTAGGACTTAGAGTACTAGCAGTGGTGATAGTGGACAGCCCTGCCGTGTTCCTGAACTTCAGGGAAAAGCTTTCAGTTACTCCCCATTGAGAATGATATTTGCTGTGGGTTTTTTATAGATGGCTTTGATGATATTGAGGTATGTACCCTCTATCCCTACACTTTGAAGAGTTTTGATCAAGAGAGGATGCTGTACTTTGTCAAATGCTTTTTCAGCATCTATTGAGAGTATCATATGGTTCTTATTCTTTTTTTTCCTTAATGTATTGTATCACATTGATTTGCAGTTGTTGAACCAACCTTGCAGCCCAAGAATAAATCCCACTTAGTCGTGGTGAATAATCCTTTTAATTACTGTTGGATCCTATTGGCTAGTATTTTGGTGAGAATCTTTGCATCTGTGTTCATCAAGGATATTGGTCTGTAAATCTCCTTTTTGATGGGGTCTTTGGTTTTGGGATCAGGGTAATGCTGGCCTCCTAAAATGAGTTTGGAAGTTTTCCTTCCATTTCTATCTTTTAGAACGGTTTCAGGAGAATAGATATAGACTCTTCTTTAAATGTTTAAATGTTTGGTAGAATTCCCCTGGGAAGCCGTCTGGCCCTGGCTCTTGTTTGTTGGGAGACTTATGACGGCTGCTTCAATCTCCTTACTGGTTATGGGTCTGTTCAGTTTTACTGTTTCTTCGTGGTTCAGTTTTGGTAGTTTATATGTATCTAGGAATGCATCCTTTTCTTCAGGATTGTCAAATTTGCTGTCGTATAGTTACTCATAATATTATAATTGTTTGTATTTCTTTGGTGTTGGTTGTGATCTCTCCTCTTTCATTCATGATTTTATTAACTTGGGTTCTTTCTTTTTTTCTTTTTAAGTCTGGCCAGGGGTTTATCAATCTCATTAATTCTTTCAAAAACCGGCTCCTAGTTCGTTGATTAGTTCTCCTATTCTTTTTCTCCTATTCTTCTCTGATCTTTATTATTTCTCTTCTCCTGCTGGGTTTAGGCTTTCTTTGCTGTTCTTTCTTCAGCTCCTTTAGGTGTAGGGTTAGGTTGTGTACTTGAGACCTTTCTTGTTTCTTGAGAAAGGCTTGTATTGCTATATACTTTCCTCTCAGGACTACCTTTGCTGTGTCCCAAAGATTTTGAACAGTTGTGTTTTCATTTTCATTTGTTTCCAAGAATTTTTTAAATTCTTTAATTTCCTGGTTGACCCATTCATTCTCTAGTAGGGTGCTCTTTAGCCTCCATGTATGAGTTCTTTCCAACTTTCCTCTTGTGATTGAGTTCTGGTTTCAGAGCATTGTGTTATGAAAATATGCAGGCAATGATCCCAGTCTTTTGTACCATTTGAGACCCAATTTGTGACCCAGGATGTGATCTATTCCGGAGAATGTTCCATGTGCACTAGAGAAGAATGTGTATTCTGTTGCTTTGGGATGGAATGTTCTGAATATATCTGTGATGTCCATCTCATCCAGTGTGTCACTTAAAGCCTTTATTTCCTTGTTGAGCTTTTGATTAGATAATCTGTCCATTTCAGTGAGGAAGGTGTTAACGTCCCCTATTACTGTATTATTGCCAATGTGTTTCTTTGATTTTGTTATTAATTGGTTTACATAATTGGCTGCTTCCATGTTAGTGGATTTGGTTAGTTTAGTTTAAAATTGTTAGATCTTCTTGTTGGACAGACCCCTCAAGTGTGATATAGTGTCCTTCCTCATCTCTTATTATAGTCTTTGGCTTAAAATCTAATTTATCTGTTATAAGGATTGCCACCCCAGCTTTCTTTTGATGGCCATTAGCATGGTAAATGGTTTTCTACCCCTTTACTTTAAATCTGGAGGTGTTTTGGGTCTAAAATTAGCTTCTTGTAGACAGCCTATCGATGGGTTTCATTTTTTTATCCATTCTGATACCCTGTGTCTTTTCATTGGTGCATTTAGCCCATTTACATTCAGGGTAACTATTGAAAGATATGAATTTATTGCCATTGTATTGCCTGTAAGGTGACTCTTACTGTATATTGTCTCTGTTCCTTTCTGGTCTGTTACTTTTAGGCTCTCTCTTTGCTTAGAGGACCCCTTTCAATATTTCCTGTAGGGTTGGTTTGGTGTTTGCAAATAATTTTAATTTTTGTTTGTCCTGGAAACTTTTTTTTTTTTTAAGATTTTATTTATTTATTTGACAGACAGAGATCACAAGTAGGCAGAGAGGCAGGCAGAGAGAGAGGAAGGGAAGCAGGCTCCCTCCTGAGCAGAGAGCCTGATGCGGGGCTCGATCCCAGGACTCCGGGATCATGACCTGAGCCAAAGGCAGAGGCTTTAACCCACTGAGCCACCCATGCACCCCCATCCTGGAAGCTTTTTATCTCTCCTTCTATTTTCAATGAAGCCTAGCTGGATATAGTATTCTTGGCTGCATATTTTTCTCCTTTAGTGCTCTGAATATATCAGTCCAGTCCTTTCTGGCCTACCAAGTCTCTGTGGATAGGTCTGCTGCTAATGTAATATTTCTACCATTGTATGTTACAGACCTCGTGTCCCAAGCTGGTTTCAGGAATTTCTCTTTGTTACTTAGAGTTGTAAGTTTTACCATTAGATGACAGGGTGTGGACCTACTTTTATTGATTTTGAGGGAGGTTCTCTGTGCCTCCTGGATTTTGATGCTTGTTCCCTTTGCCATATTAGGGAAATTCTCTACTATAATTTGCTCCAATATACCTTCTGTCCCTCTCTTTCTTCTTCTGGGATCCCAATTATTCTAATATTGTTTCGTCTTATGGTATCACTTATTTCTCAAATTCTCCCCTCATGGCCCAGTAGTTGTTTGTCTGTCTTTTGCTCAGCTTCTGTATTCTGTGTTACTTGGTCTTCTGTATCACTGATTCTCTCTTCTGCATCATTTATTGTAGCAGTAAGAGCCTCTGTGTTTTATTGTATCTCATTAATAGCTTTTTTAATTTCAACTTGGTTAGATTTTAGTTCTTTTATTTGTCCAGAAAGGGATTTTATTTCTCCAGAGAACGATTCTCCAGTACCCTCCATGCTTTTTTCAACCTCATCTGGCACCTTGATAATCATGCTGAACTCTAGTTCTGACATATTACTAATGTCCGTATTGATTAAGTCCCTAGCCATTGGTACTGCCTCTTCCTTTTTTTTTTTTTTTTTTGTGGTGAGTTTTTCTGCTCTGTCATTTTAGCCAGATAAAAATTGATGAGAGAAAAAGAACAAAATACTAAAAGGGTGGCAAAGACCCCAGAAAAATATATGCTAATCAAATCAAAAGAGATGCAAAACTGGGGGAAGAAGAAAAGGGGGAAAAATTTAGAAATATATATATTAGACTGATGAATAGAACAGAGCCACCCACTTGATTTTGGGTGTATTCTGGTCTCTTAGATGAAACTACCTCCCAAAATTTCAAAGAAAGAAAAACATATATATACACACACACACGCACACACACACAAATAAGGGTAAACACGATGAAGGATGGAATATGACTGTAAAGATGAAAATTTAAAAAGATTCTAAGAAAGGAATTGACAAGAAGTTGGTTGGAAAAAGAAAAAAGAGGAGAGAATGTGATCAGGCTGGAGACTAGAACAAAGCCATGTGCTAGATTAAGGGCATATTTTGATCTATGAGAAGAAATTGTATCCCAAAATTTTAAAGAAAAAAAAAACCTGAATGTCTACAAAAAATAAGGTTAAATACAATGAAGGGTTAGAATATGAATTTAACAGTGAAAATTTAAAAAGATTTTTTTAAAAGGTATTGATAAGATAAAATAGTTTTAAAATGTTAAAATAAGAAAGAGGAAAAGTTAGGGGCTCCCAGGTGGCTCCATGGGTTGAGCCTCTGCCTTCGGCTCAGGTCATGATCTCAGGGTTCTGGGATCAAGCCCCACATCGGGCTCTCTGCTTGGTGGGGAGCCTGCTTCCCCCTTTCTGCGTGCTTCTCTGCCTACTTGTGATCTCTCTGTGTGTCAAATAAATAAATAAAATCTTTACCAAAAAAAAAAAAAAGAGGAAAAGTTAAAAAAATAGAATAAGAAAAAAATAAAATTTAAAAAAGTTAACTTTGAAAGGCTAAAGGATCATGGGAAAGAAGCCATGAATTCAATGTGTTGCTTTCCCCTAGCTTTGGAGTTCTGCAGTTCTCATTGATTGGTGAACTTGGTCTTGGCAGGATGTTCTTGATGATCTTCTGAGGGAGGGGCCTGTTGCATGATTCTCAGATGTCTTTGCCTGAGGCAGAATTGCACTGCCCTTACCAGGAGCCAGGCTAAGTAATCTGCTTGGGTTCGCTCTCTGTAGCTTTTGTTCCCTGAATGCTTTCCATACAGCTTTGGGGGACGGGGATGAGGATGGCAGCTTCCAAATCTCTGGCCTGTAGGAGGGAGACAAGAGCTTGGGACCCCACTCCTCATTGCCCTCAGAGAAAAGCAGTCAGTCCCTCCCATCTCCAGGTCTTCGGCTGCACTCAGAGCTCACCCATCCTGTGACCAAGCGTTTCTATCTCTGGCATGTGGCCACCCCATTTGGAGTCTCCAAACCCAACAGATTCCTGCCACGCACTCCCACACTGCTCCTCCTGGAGGAGGAAGTGGGGGGATCTCTCCAGATCTGCCACTTGTGGGATCCCTGCTCAAAGAACAGTGGCCCAACTGTGACTTGGGTCACGGTTTAAGGTAACCCTGAGCTGAGAGCCCCCTCCTTGGCTCTGTCTCTGTAGCCAGTCTCCCCACTCCAATACCTGGGAGCTCTGCCACACTCAGACACTCCTGGTCTTTCTGTGACCGCATGGGTCCTGAGACTACACTGTCCCTGCGAGGGCTCCACCCCCGCTTAGCTCTGGAATGACTTCCCTCAGTGGAGCAGACTTCTAAAAGTTCCAATTTTGTGCTCCGCTGCTCTCTCTCAACCCAGTAGCCGGCCCCTCCCTCTGCAGTCTTTCTTCCCGTTGCTTCAGATTCACTTCTCCACACTTCCTACCTTCTGGAAAGTGGTCAATTCTCTGTTCCTAGAATTGCTGCTCTTCTCTTCTATCTCCTGTTGAGTTTGTAGGTGTTCAGAATGGTTTGATAACTATCTAGCTGAACTCCTGAGACCTAATGATATTTCAGTCTCCTACTCTTCCACCATCTTGCTTCCTCTCCCTCAAACATCAGACTCTTGATCTTAGCTTAGGTCTTGATCCAAAGGTTGTTAAGTTCAAACCCCACATTGTGCTCATGAAACAAACAAACAATAAAGCAACACAAATATGGCATATGCCAGAGGGCACAGGAGCCAACTGAAAGAGTTCCCAGTGGCCAAAATTAGAACAATTTAAACAATTAAATAAAGTAGAGCATTTAATTTGCCATCAAGATTAGAAAAGTTTATACTGGGGCACCTGGGCACACAGGTGGGTTAAGCCTCTGCCTTCAACTCAGGTCATGATCCCAGGGTCGTGGGATTGAGCCCCAGGTCGGGTTCCCTGCTCAGCAGGGAGTCTGTCTCTCCTTCTCCCTCTGACCCTCCCCTGGCTCATGCTCAGACTCTCTCTCTCAAATAAATAAATAAACCTTTAAAAAAAAATAAACTACACCACAGAATGTCAAAGAGACTAGAGATTGTCACATGTAGAAATAGTATTATCCATCAGTGCAAAATCCTAAGAGTACCCAAGCAGGCAAATAAACCTTATGTCAACCCTAAAGGAGTATAATCCAAAGTGTAAAGTACATATTCATGAGACCATACTGATATTAATCAGTGATCATATAAATAAATAAAAAGAGGAGAACAGACAAATCCCCTGCGTAGAACTCTACATGATTAATGTAGATACTGTGCTCTCAGTGGGATAGACCAGACCATGACTTCCTGCTCTGTAGGTGTGGGCTTCACATAGTGATTTCCTTCCAACATTGAAAGTATGGAAAGGGGGGGAAGAGAGTCATTTTGCAGTGGGGAAATCTGACAAACACGACCTCAACCAGGTGATCCAGGCCAACATGAACAGGGATATGTTGATAGTATGTACCCTTCAGTGGCTGTGATGAGAATGACACTTTATTTCTATATTCTTTCACCTAAAAACCCTAGTCTAAGCATGAGAAAAACATCAAATGCTAATTAAGGGGTATTCTACAAAATACCTGACTAGGACCTCAAAACTGTCAGTCATCAAAAATAAGGAAGGTCTGGGGAGATGGGTGGCTCAGTTGTTGGGCATCTGCCTTCGGCTCAGGTCATGATCCCAGGGTCCTGGAATGGAGCCCCACGTCAGGCTCCTTGCACAGTGGGAAGCCTGGTTCTCCCTCTCCCACTCCCCCCCACCTGTATTTCTTCTCTCACTGTATCACTCTCTGTTAAATAAATAAAATCTTAAAAAAAAAAGGAAAGTCTAAGAAAAGCCAAGTAGATCCTAAAGAGATGCTTATTTCTTTTATATAAATCTATGTATATTTTTAAAAATTATACTGTGATTATATGCTCAACCCAGAAATGCCACTTTTTAAAACCCAACAAAAATATTTACAAAACATACAAAATATATGTAAAAACTACTAATCGTAGTTGTTTGTAGAAAGCAAAACATGGGGAACAATTTACCTGTCCCTATATCGGAAGGCGATTGTATGGTATTGTGCCTGGCAGAATTCTAAGGTGAAACTGCAGTGACCCTGCCCTTGAGTGTGGGTGAGACTTGGAGTGGGATGGATTCTATTCCCCTGATTAGGTTGTCAGATGGCACAGCTGACCTTCCGAAAGAGAGGTTATCCTGAGTGGCCCTGACCTAAGCAGGTGACTCCTCAAAAGGATTCAGCTCTTCCTAGAAGAAGTGTGAAGCTTGAGGTATATTTGTTACTGGCTTTGAAGATGGAGGGAATCACCTGGTAAGGAATGAAGGAAACCTCTAGGAGCTGAGCAGCCCCAGTCGACCGCCAGCAAGGAAGCGAACTTCAGTCCTGAAGCTGCAAGGAAGTGGATTCTGCCAACAGTTTGAAAGAGGTTGGAAGAGGACCCCAAGTCTCAGATGGGGGGGCAGCCCTGGGAGACCCTGAGCAGAGGAGCAGCCACACTGTGCGAGACTCCTGAACACAAAAACCGTGAGGTAACAGCTTTGTATCGTATAACCTGCTAATTGAGTGGCGATTAGTTACACAGCCATAGTAAGCACAGGTATGTCCAGCTGTGGAGCACTATGCAGCCAGTCAGACCGGGGGAAACCCACGATTACTGCTGATTGCATAAGGGAAGTTGGAAAAATTACATGTAGCATGATCCTGTCTTCATAAAACTAAGACGTCTGTGAATGGCAGAGAGTCTGGGATGTTAACACCAATACGCTAGCTGAGGAGTGGGATTTAGCAGAAGGAACTTGAGGTTGTTGACATCCATTTCTTTGGTGCTACAGAGTTTGTTTTGGTGGAGGGTGGTTCTTAATTTATTTACAAGGAGCCTGCACTTTGTTTCTAATTAAAAAGACAAACCAAACTAACAAATCAAACTCTGCTGACCCTGAGAATCCGGGCCAAACTCCTTACTGAGGACCCTCTTGATCTAGCTTCACTGACCTCCAGGTGTCCCCCCCACCTCTCCTTCCTCTCCGTCCTGTCCCACCTGCACCTGAAGCTCCAGCTCCACGGCCTCCCTGTGCTCTGCCTTCTGGACTTAAGATTTACTCTGCTTTCTTTATGCCATTCTTTTCCCCTTTTCTTTGAGGGGCCCACTTGCCCTTTGTGGCTGGTGCTTTCTGACATACTCTCTTCCCTGTTTTTTTGGCACCATAACTTCATTCTTTCCTCTTGGACCCTCTTTGCCAACTCCATTTTTTCTCCCCGGTCTTTAGGTTAGTCCTTGGCCTCCTGTTCCTTCTGTCTGGGCAAGCTCCTTCCCATCCACTGTTCCAGTTCCATCACTCTGCCTCAAATGGCACACATTGCTCTCCACCCCAGACATCCCTCTTCGCGCAACACTCAGAGAGCCTTCTTCAGAACAAGCCCCCAGACTTCCCCAGGACACACAGAGCCTCACTAGATGACACCGCTGTCCTTCCCACTGTGCAAGACAGAGATCTGGCTTATCCCCTCTCTACAACCCAAACACTTCTCTCTTTTTTTTTTTTTTAATTTTTTTAAGTTTTTGGGTTTTGTTTTTTAAGATTTTATTCATTTATTTGACACACAGAGTACAAGCAAGGGAGTGGCAGGAAGAGGGAGCAGCAAGCAGGCTCCTGCTGAACAGACAGCCCGACATGGGACTCGATCCCAGGACCCTGGGATTATGACCTGAGCCAAAGGCAGATGTTTAATTTACTGAGCCACCCAAACGCCGCCCCCCCATACACTTTATTGCACTGCTTCTCCCTTCTCATGTGATTGCCCCAGCAAGTGCCCTGCACCCTTTCCAGAAGCCTCTTAAAAACAACTCTGATGAGGCACCTGGCTGGCTTAGTCGGGAGAGCATGCAACTCTTGATATCAGGATTGAAAGTTCAAGCCCCCACATTGGGCATAGAGCCTCCTTAAAAAAACACAGACCCTGATATTACTACTGAAAATCTTTTAAAGATCTCCCCTGGCTCTAGGGATGACGACCACATACTTTGAGTTCAGACTCAGCTTATCCTAACCTGAAGTCACATCTCTTCTTGCCTTCTGCACTCCAGCCTCTCTGGTGCTTCCCTCAAAATGGCCTTGCTTCCAGGGCTCCTCCCATGCTAGTCTGGCCTGAACATGCCCTCCTAGTAGCCTGCCCTGGCTGCTAGTTGGTGCCTTACCACCTCTGTTTCTGGTCTCAGAAATCACACTCCTCAAGGGATGCCTGGGTGGCTCAGTTGGTTAAGCCTCTGACTCTCGATCTCAACTCACATCTTGATCTCAGGGTTGAGGGAGCCCAGTGTTGGCCTCCATGCTCAGTGCAGAGTCTGCTTGGGTTCTCTCTCTTTCCCTCTGCTCCTCCCCCCATTCGCATGTGTGCAGGCATTTGCACACGCTCTCTCTAATAAATAAAATATTTTAAAAAATTAAAAATCACACTCCTCAAGTAAGCTTTCCTGATGCCCAGACTAGACCAAACCCCTGATGTGGGCACTCAGAGCCTCCTTTCCTTTCCTCCATAGCCCTTCTTACATTTTGCCACGAAGGTTTATGTAATTATGGATTCACTAGACCTAGGGACTGGGCCTGCTTTCTTCCTGTTGTATTCCCCAGACCTAGCAAGGTTAGGCACTTAATGAATAGGAACGTAGAAGTTGAGGGAGAAGAGATAGAATAAAAGGGAGAAAGTACGTGGAGTAAAGAATAGTTTGGTGTGGCTGGATGCAGGCTCTGGGGCGATAGAGCTGGAAAGCCCAGCTGATGTCAGAATGGGGCGCATGCGGATACCAGACGAAGGAATTCAGGCTTTTTGTGAACCAAGGATGTAGGCTAAGCTTCCTGAGCAGGGCGGCCGTTACGTGATCAGTTCAGTGGGGAATCAGTGGCATGACCTGGTACATTCTGAAAGCCTTTGACAACCAGTTTGAATTGATACTGGCTATGGAACAAGGAATTTGGGGACAGATTATATTTTCTGTGAGTTGTGCCTATTGGGTCTTCAATATTACTGCCGTAAGTGAACTGGAAGAGTTGCCACTTAGAGGTCATAGTGCTTTACGCATTAGCTCATCAGGATGCAAAGGGCTGTGATCATAGGCAGCAGAGCATTTCTGCATCCTGTTGAGCAAGGAATCTAAGCAACATTTTTTTGGTTCAGTTTTTTAAAAAATAGGTGTTTACTGAAGTAAGCAAGGATTTGCGGCTGTTTGGAGCCGAGTGGCAGATGGAGCCAACTTGGAGACTTCTCGGGCAGAAGTATGAGTTACAACCCAGAGGCTGCTGCATGATGCCCGACATCACACAGAGCACCTCCACGCTCGGAGAGCCGAGGAGATCTCAGGTAAAGGCTCCCTGATCACTGAGTGATTAGGCTTGCAAGAGAACATACTCTCACTGGTGGGGAGGCCTTGGTGGAGATTTGAGCTTCAAAAGCCAGGCTGGGATTACTCAGTTGCTCTTTCCTCTACCTCCTGAGGGACCCTAAGTTGTATTTAAGCAGGCCTGTGTCCCTACCTATCACTGAGTATGCCAGAGGAAGTCAGCCATGTCTCTGCCTAAGCTATAAAGAAATAATTAGGGGCGCCTGGGTGGCTCAGTGGGTTAAAGCCTCTGCCTTCGGCTCAGGTCATGGTCCCAGTGTCCTGGGATCGAGCCCCACATCGGGCTCTCTGCTCAGCAGGGAACCTGCCTCCTCCTCTTTCTCTCTGCCTGCCTCTCTGCCTACTTGTGATCTCTGTCTGTCAAATAAATAAATAAAATCTTTAAAAAAAAAAAAAAAACTAATTAACCACAATTAATAGCCGATAATTTGTTATTTCTGCATTTTAGTCCCAAGGTTCTCTCCTAAGTTATTACCCAGGAAGAAACATAAAACTTTATTTCATAGAAACAAAGAAAATGAACTTTTTTTTTTTTTTTGCTTTATCTCCAAAGCAGTGGGTCTTCGTAGTTGGAAATGAGGCTCATTCCCAGAGATGGGAAAGAATGTCGCTCCAGGTCCCCCATCATTATGATGCAAGTGTACAGATAGGACCAGCTACATAATCTGTGGGACCTAGTGCTAAGTAAAGATGTGGGCCCCTCATTAAATACAGTAGGAATTTCAAGCCTGCAATAGAAGACTATTAAAGCAGGGGCAGGGCCCTTCTGAGCGTGGGGAGGCAGAGGCTGCTCACACAGAATGATTTGAGCGCTAGGATGATGAAGGGGCTTTGCCTGAAGGAACTCAGCAGCCTCAGTAGAGAAGGAAGTGTCAGTCAGGAAAGATCCGGCGAAAGCACGTGGCAGCCATAGGGCCACTTCCTGTGAGAGTGAATGCTATGGCCAAGGACAGCATTCTCTCAGCAGTCCTTGCTCATGTTCTGCTTGGGGTTTGGATATCAGAGGGACCAAGGATCAGAAAAGAATCAGGGTGCCTTAGGACATCAGAAGGAAGGGGTGATGAAAGGGTATAGAGAACACAGGGATTGAGGAGGCATGAAGAGGGGGAGTTTCAAGGCATGGAACTCTCCCTGTTTGGTTTTTGTTTAATCAGCCACTTTTTTTTTTTAAGATTTTATTTATTTGACAGATCACAAGTAGGCAGAGAGGCAGGCAGAGAGAGAGAGAGGAGGAAGCAGGCTCCCTGCTGAGCAGAGAGCCCAATGCGGGGCTCGATCCCAAGACCCTGGGATCATGACCTGAACCGAAGGCAGCGGCTTAACCCACTAAGCCACCCAGGTGCCCCGTAATCAGCCAGTTTTTTTAACTGAAGTAGAATGTATCAAATTTAAGTGAATGATTCTTTCCCTTAAACTTGCTTCTCCCTTTTCTCCATCTTGGTAGGTCATCTGGGTGGGTCACTATTCACCCAGTTGATAAGACAGAAACCAGGAGGGGCGCCTGGGTGGTTCAGTTGGTTGAGCAACTGTCTTCAGCTCAGGTCATAATCCTGGAGCCCAGGATCGAGTCCCGCATCAGGCTCCTGGCTCAGCGGGGAGTCTGCTTCTCTCTCTGACCTTCTCCCCTCTCATGCTCTCTCTCTTCTTAAGTAAATAAATAAAATATTAAAAAAAAAAAAAGAAAGCAGGAGTCATCTTTGATTCCTCCTCCTTTATCTCAGTACCACGTACTAAGTCCCATTAGTTCTACTTGCACTTGTACCTCCTGAGCCCACACATCCACTTCTCTCCATATCCTGATGCCCTCATCTTCTCTGGCCATGACTATGACAACAGCCTTTAATTAGGTTGGCTTTTTTTTTTTTTTTTTAAGATTTTATTTGACAGAGAGAGATTACACGTAGGCAGAGAGGCAGGCAGAGAGAGAGGAGGAAGCAGGTTCCCTGCTGAGCAGAGAGCCCGATGCGGGGCTCTATCCCAGGACCCTGGGATCATGACCTGAGCCAAAGGCAGAGGCTTTAACCCACTGAACCATCCAGGCGCCCCTAATTAGATTGGCTTTTAAATCATGCTGACTTGAGTTTAAGTCCTCATTCTGCCACCTGTTAACTAGGTGACTTGAATGGGGTTCTTCAGCTTTTTGAGCCTCAGTTTCCTCATCTGAAAAATGGGGACAATATACCTATCTTAAAGGGTCATTGTCAGGACTAAATGAAATGATGCCAGTGGCTTAGCACACAGTATGTACTCGATGAATCAGCATCTTCCTTCTCTTTCCCTCATCCTTCAGGCCTCAGTTTAAACATTACTTCCTTAGGTCCCCCTCTCTTGATTTGCCACAGGCTCAGTGCAGGCTCCCAGCAATGCAGACTCCTCTGCAACGTTCATCACACTTATCTGTCTTCTCTCAACTCTCCTTTCCATCAGGACAAGGATCCTGTTTTCTTCTGCCTAATGAGATGCCTGACAAGGGGTAGAAACTCCTGTTTTGTTATTTGACTAGTATCCTCATACATAATCAAAGGTTCCCGGGCTTGGGGTCCCTGTAATGTTCTCAACTAATTAAGTAAGGTAGATGGCCACATTACGTAACAAGAGGCCAAGAGTATCCCACCAGCTTTAAGTTAAACCTGGGGCACTGGGGGTGATTCATCATAGCAGATCCCTTCCATAAGAAATCAGCCTAGGGAGTGGATCAAGATAGCGGGGGATCCTGAGCTTACCTGCTCCCATGGACACACCGAGGCTGCACCTGCATACGTAGCAACTCCACTGAGAATGTTCTGAAGACTAGCAGAACAGCTCTTCCACAGCTAAAGATAGAAAGAAAGCCACATGAGAAGAGTAGGAGGGGCAAAGGCATGTTCTGGTTGGGACCCATAACCCTGGTACAGTGACTCACTAGTGGGAGGGATATCACAGGCACAGAGATCGTCCCTCAGAAGTGAGGGGTTCAAACCCTGCCCCCTCATCAGGCACCTCGAGCTATGGAGATCTGCACTGGGAAGAGGAGCCCTCATCACATCTGGCTTTAAAAAAATCAGTGGTGCGTAACTTCAGGAGCTCTGAAAATCAGCAGGGCTGATCACGAGAACTGGAGGGCTGTGGGAAACTAAGAGTCCACTTTTAAAGGGCCCATGTACAAGCTCACTTGCCCTGAGACTCAGCACAGAGGCAGCAGTTTGAAAAGTGCCTATGTCATGTGGGAAGGAGATTTATTGACTAATTTATTTTAATTGTTTATTTTAGGGTCACCTAAGTGGCTCAGTTGGTTAAGCATCTGCCTCGGGCTCAGGTCATTAACCTGGGGCCCTGGGATCAAGCCCCAAGTCAGGCTCCCTGCTTAGTGGGGAGCTTGCTTCTTCCTCTCCCTTGGCCCCTCCCCCCTGCTCATGCTCAAATAAATAAACATTTTTTAAAAAGAGATTTTTTATTTTAAGTAAACTCTACACCACACTTGGGGCTCCAACTCACAACCCTCAGATCAAGAGTCTTATGCTCTATGACTAATTAATTTTAGGGTGAGGGCATGTGCTAAAGGGGCAAGGATCTGTAGGGGCTTTCTCTGAGAATGGAAGCACTGGCAGGCACCACATTTCTTTCCGTCCCTCTGTCTAGCTGGCCTGATGCTAGACAGATCCACTAGAGGGGAATCCACAGCAGATTAGATAGTGCAGAAGAATGCATCAACAATCTGGAAGACAGGGTAGTAGATGTCATCCAAGCTGAATGGCCAAAAGAAAAAAGAATTTTATTTTTTTTTTAAGATTTTATTTAGGGGCAGCATGCAGAGGGAGAGGGAGAGAGAGAACCTCCAGCAGACTCTGCTCTGAGCACAGAGCCCAATGTGGGACTTGATCTCAAGACCCTGAGATCATGACCTGAGGCAAAATCAAGAGTCAGACTGTAGTTGCTGAATATGAAGTATTTCATGTTGGGAACCTCCTGGTTGGAGATGGCCAGGACTGTCCACCACCCCTGGAAAGACCTGATCTAGTTCTCTCTTCTCTCTGGTTTGGCAGAGTAGACATGCTATTGCCTTCGAGCATGGACGACAAGGATTCCTGCCCCCTCCCACTTTGGACTACACTGGAAAGCTGGTAAGGTGTGGCGAGTCTGTCAGAGTAAGCATTCAGTGTCACCTGCAGAGCCACTAGGCTGTAAAACATGGTGTTTCCTCATGGAACAACAACCTTGTGGGTTGATTGGACAAACATCCCCATAAGTGAGAAATTAAAGCAGAGTACAGTGGTCAAGACCACACCCTAAATAAGCAGTTAAGGGGGCTAGGACACAAGTCCCACAGTCTCTGGGTCTGGGCCACCCAGGGCTCCGCACACGTCAACGCCAGACCGTGTCTTCTTCAGGCTGAGAGCTGTCTTGACCCTTCATGGAGTTGGTGTCTGCTGCCAACAGATTTGTCTCTGTGCGAGAGGTCGAAGCCTTACAGTTGAGTGAGGGAGCTCCTCCTGAGAAATTTAGTACATTTTAAAGAGTAGCTAATTCCTTCTTGCAACATGGACTACTTTGTGCGGAATGTAATGCGGTTCTGTATTTTGGAAATGAATAGTCCTGTGTAAATTCAGTGCAATAGCGCTAGTACTTCAAGGGTCCCTTTGGAATTGCTCCCGTGCCTTCTCTGCTCTGATTTAGGCCTTTTATCCTGCACATGGCCTCTTACTGTTCTTCCCACTCCTTCATCCTCCTGGCACCCACTCCCAGCTGGCTCTGACCAAGGAGAAGCTGGGTAAGAGTGTGGTCTCTAGAGACAGAAAGCCCGGAACTCAAACCATGGTTCTGCTGTTTATTTGCTGTGTAACCTTGGGCCAGGGCCTTAACAGCAGTGCAGGCTCTGTTGTCAAATTTTCTTTTCTTTTTTAATTTATTTGAGAGACAGAGCACGAGCTGGGAGGAGAGGCAGAGGGAGAGGAAAAAGCAAACTCCCGCTGAGCAGGGAGCCTGACATGGGGCCCAATCCCAGGACCCTGGGATCATGACCTGAGCCAAAGGCAGATAGATGCCCAACTGACTGAGCCACCCAGGCACCCCTCCACTGCCTTATTTTCAAATGAGGATAGAGTAGTACTGACCTACCAGGTTGATAGAATTAAGTGTGTAATTCAAGTAGTTAAACAGTGACCCATAATAAATCTTATATCATCTTTTTCAGTTCTCTGTTCAGAAACCCCAAATAGTTAAAGAATTGAGACCAGTGTTTAACCGAAAATAGACTTCCTTGGCCTCTTTTAACAAGTACTTCCTCATTTGCTAAACCGTGCGCTCCAACTCAGTTCCCCAAACCTGCCCTCCTGCCTCGGCTCATGCTGACCTAGTATTGCCATCAGTTGACATCACTGCTGCCCCTTCAGGGTAGGCCTCCAGAGTTGTAGAGGAAAGCTAAAGTCAGAACACGTGAAAAGTATTCTCCGAACAACTGAGCATATAAAAAATTACTTTTCACTTAGACATTGTTAAACAATAAAAATTCAGCTGAGTAACTTCAGAGATCACATTGGCTTTGATTCAGTGACTCCTTATTTGGGCAGGTCATGAATTTACATAGGACCATCCAGCAGCAGAAAGGCGCTCTGAAGGGCTGTACAAAATGCAGGGTTCTTAAGAGCAAAAATGGGGTGGGAAAGGGGAATGGTTAGTAAGGAATTCATTGTTTCCGGAAGATGGCCTTTCTCCCAGGATCAGTGGGGGCTACATCAAGTGGATTCTCTCACCAATACTGACTAGGTAATTCCATGACTACTGGTTAAAGGTTCTGCCTGGGGAGCTGAAGGTGCAGTTCAGGTAGCAAGCCAGGATGTGCGGACGTGGGGCTTTGCACAGCTGACTGCATTTGGGGCCTGTTGTCTCTTTTTAAGCATCGCCCTTGTTGTCTCTTTTTAAGCATCGCCCTGCTTACCACCCTCCCCGCACCGCAGCCCGTCTCTCCCATCTCATACTTAAGATTGTGAGATGTTGTAAATTTCTGACATTGACAGTACAATGAAATGGTGCCAGAGTACAGTTTAAGTTTTAAAATGTAGAATGTCATAAAGTCACAGAGTATTGGTGGGAAACTGCTCAAATGACTGCAGTCACGCAAATAAGGAGTTGAGGGTCAGGTCCGTTAAGAAATGAAGAGCTTCATGGAACCAGAGAGGTGCTTCAGGGAGGCAATTTGAGTAATGGAATAAGAGAGACTTCCAGAGAAACTGAGGAAGCCCCTAACTTTTGCAAAAATGACTGCCCCACGGAAATGGTGTCCTGTTGTGCAATCATGTAATTTTAGGAGGGAAATACGCATAAAATAATTTTGTTCTAAGAACTAGCCCATAGTTGCAGTTGCACTTTGAGAGCTACTAGTTTTAGTAGTAGTTTTGTTTTCCAGGAGTTCCAGTCAAACCTCCACTGTTCATTATATGTAACTCTAGTCTCCATTTTAAGTAGGTTGACTCAGGCTTTTTCAAGTCTCAGTTCTTTTTGGATAATGAAAACCTTTTAACTTTTATCTGCCCCATCTTCCCTAACAGCACACTCCTAGGGCAAACAGCGTCAAGACAGAAATGCCATGTCACCACCTCTTAGGGTGATGGGGGTGGTTATGTGTGCGTGAGTCACCAGTGAAGCCTGTGCCGACCCACGGCCCTCAATTACTTGTTAAGTGAATGAGTCCTGGTATATCCAGAGCTGTTGAAAGCAAAGACCTGCAGTGAGGGGCCAGCAAGGAGTGACTAGGTGATCCCAGATAGCCAGGCCCTTGTCCTCAGCTCTGTCTGGGCTTTTCAGGCATTGGCAGTGTTCTCTAAAAGCCTGGAGTGCTCTACAGGGTAGGGCTGAGTGGAGGTCGTGAGAGAGGCAAGGGTGATCGGTTAAGGAGAGGCAGACAACCCTGCTGCCACTCCTCTGGCCTCCCCCCGAGTAGCAGACGGAAGCTGTGTGAGGTGGCGCTGGGTGCTCTGGTTTATTCCTGCCTGGTATGGTTCAGAACTTAAGACTAAGCTTCATAACCAGACTGCATGGCAGAGCGTTTCCCAGTCCCAGGGAACGAATCTGCAAAGAAAGAGCTTAACTTCTTACTTGGGAGCGGAGGAGGAAGGGCAGAGTGGCACCAGTGTTCATGCCAGCTCCGGGCACGGACTGTTTAGGTCCCCCAGACCGAGCAGAGGACAGAAAGCAAGGCCCGGCGCTATAGGCTGTTTGCAGAAGTGTGAGTGCCAGCCGGGGGTTGCCTTGTGGTGAAGTGTCCTTTGAGAAGGAATGCTTTGGGGCAGAGGCTGGAGCACATGGCTAGTTCTCAGGGACATATGAGCACAGTGTCAGGGGGGCAAGAGGAGCCTCTGAGGCAGCACCTGGTTTATCATTCAGATGAAAGCATTGCACCGGAGGTGCCAGAGCACAGAGGTCATATCCCAAGAGTTGACAGTAAGAGTGGGAGCTGCCCCAACGAAGAGGGTGTGCTAGCTGGTCGCGGCACCTTTACGGCGACTTGAATGAACCACCAATCTAGGGCCTGACCTTCCACATGGCAAGGTGTGGTAGGGCAACCATTTACAGTGAACACTAATCTGGTTTAAGTTGGGTGACAGAGCCTTAAATACGTTCAGCTAGCTTGGGATCCTTTGGCACAAGAGGTGGAGGGGTGGGGATCATATGAACGCAAGGTCTTTCGCTTCATTTTCCAACCTTGGGCTCTAGGGTCCTCACGGAGGTTTTCTTGCTAGATAGCGCGCACAGCCTGGGCCCGGGCCTCTGCCTCGGAGATCTGCACTGCAGAGGTTAAGGGCCACCTGCTTCTGCCTCCCCTGCTCCTCAGCCTGGACAGCTGGTCTCCGTCTTTAGTCAGGAACCTCAGCAAAGTGAGGCCATGTCAGTCTCCACAGGGCTCAGGAGTTCTTAGGTGCCCCCTCAACCCCAACAAGCGGTTTCTTTCTCTTGCGCCCCCTTCCATTGCTTTCACACCATTTTAAAGCATCAGTGCACCTGCATCCATGAGAACATTTTAATCCTTTAATAAAATACATGTATGAACTTTAAAGTCTTTTGAGTAGTGATAGTTTTACAATAAATTGCAAATGTCAGATCAGAATGCTTCAAGGTCAGAATTTTACCTCCGTAAGGTGGAAGACCCAGGGTGGGGCCGGCTGTCTCCTAGTCTCAATACATGGTGCAGGAGAATGTCTGCCAGACATTCAGAGTGTCTGCCAGCAGCCAGAGATAGAAATGCCAGCTCATCCCATGAACAGTGGGGAGGGGAACATTTACTAAGCAACCACCTTCAACCGGCTCTTCTGGCAAAGCGCTGTGCTCTAGACGAGGAAATGGCTCAGTTCCCCACCCGCCCACAAGGGAGCTCAGCTGGTGCTGCAGGGCTGGGATTCCAAACGCAGGTCTGTGGGCTCAGAAACTCAGGTTCTCTCCACCAAACTAGTGGTTTTGAAACTGGCTTTTGTGGCAGCGCTTCAGGGGTTCTCTGCAAATACTTCAAATAGCTGAGATGGTAAAAATCGTCGCTTATGTGCACACATGAGTTTAAACTGCCTGAGACGTCACTGTGAGGCCTCCACAGCCACGCCTGAGTAGGCCTAGGGGCTGAGACGGAGGGCGCGAGCCTGGTGGTGGATCGCCAGGCCCAGCTGCTGCTCAGCGCTAGTGGCTCTCATTGTAATTTGAGGGCTTATTTATAACCTTTCGGTGTTTCTTACTGATATAGAGAGGATAAGGATTGAAAGCAGGTACTGAATAGTCTTCTAACAACTTCTGTTAATCCTTTTTTCCAAGCATCTATTTCACTTTTGTCAATAACCAGAGATTGCAGACAAGCTGTGACTGTTACCATTTGCAGCCGCTCACCTATTATATGATTTTTCTCTCTACAGCAAACAAATTCAGAAATAAATTGGAGGCAGAGACCATTCACAAGTAACCCATTTGCAGTAGTAAAAATGCCCCCCCCCCCGAGTCCTACTGATTTAAGACAGTGTTATTACTTCAACTTAGACAATTCATGCTAATAACACTTACATATTTGAAAAGTTAAAGACAGTGATTATCGTATCAAAACCTTTTGATTTGGATTGGGAGGGAGAGGAGGGCTCATTCTTTAAGCCTTTTGGTAGCATTTACTAAGCTCTTCTCTAAGATTTCTAGGTCGGAGGCAGGTTACCGTAGCCACTTATCTAAGGCTGTCTTCTGGAAGACCAGGAGCACTGGCAGGTGGTGGAGGTGGAGTTGGGAGAGAAAGTTTCTTACTCAGATTTTGCTGTTAATTCATTGACAATCTTGGGTAAGTCTTTGTGGCTCCCTGAGGCTGTTTCCCTCACCAAAAAAACAGAGGAGTTTGGATAAAATCAAATCATTTTCAGACTTTTATTTTAAGCACCAAAACCTTTCTTCAAATCGTATCTTACTCGGAAGTATAATACTGAATGGGCTTGGCGGCTCCCTTCCCACAAAATAGCATGAAAACCACGAAACCAGATCATCTAAGATCCCTTCCACGTCTAATCGTCAGGATTTCAAGTCCCCTGCCTCTGACACACAAACGCTGGGCTCAGCGGCCTCTCCCAGACCAACCAAGGAGCTGAACTGACTCATCCCAGCACCTAGTATGCTCGTCACCTCACTGACTAAAGAAAAACGGTGGCAACAAGAATCCAGGGGCCGAACAACTGTTTGTGGGTGAAGAGGACACGTTTATTTCATTTACATGGTCACTAAGGCTACAGCAGAAACAACGGTGTTACAATAGGCAGGCACTACTGTCTGTGGCAACACACAGCGTTTCTTAAACAGCATCCAAGCCTCACAGGTTATGTTTGCATTTAAAAAAAAAATAAACCTTATGAACCAATAGGGAAGCAGCTAAAGGCCAATTTTAAATGCCAACGTAAAACAACTTTCAACTTGAACATACAATTGAAATGCAACTGCTAGGAGCACTGTAAGAAAAAGTGACCCAACTAGGGTAGAAAGATAAGACAGGAAGTAGTAAATAAAATACAATAGCCACATTTAAAAACCTTGTGATTCCCATAGGGAGTGGGGGTGGGGAGAGACTCCCTTCCTTCAAGCCTCTGAACATGGGCCTTGCTCAGGAGAGGCCTGTTCCGCGGGCAGCTGGTACCTGTGCAGACTGTGCAGCAGGTGAGCACTGCACACAGGAGAGGAAGCGTCTGTGTGGTTTCCTGCTAGGGACAGCAGGCCTTGTGTTTTAAGAGGCAAAGGCATAGGAGGGTCACCTCTTACTGCCAGAAGCCTCTCACACATTCTAGGCCGGCCCTTGAGACACCTGGCTGGTAACCTCGACTTAAAACAAATGTTCTTAGAAAACGTGACTAGAAATTAAATAGCTGGGATTCTTACCATGTTATTCCAAACTCCGAATGGAGAATCAGTCACTGCTCCATGACCTAGGGTCCATTTTTAACTGTGCTGTTAGCTTTTCCTTGGTGAACTCACTTGGGCAGGTGCAGCTGCAGCCTTCGGGACGGGTCACTTGAACAGGCACTCGCTAAATGAAATCCTGCAAGAGCACCTTCAAATCAGCCCTCTCTAAGAGATGAGGAGAGGCCAGGGCTAGAGTTAACTTCAACAAACATGGAATCTAATCTCCTAGCTTCACACACAGCAGCCCGAAGCGTATCATACGGCTGTCTCAAGAGCCTGTAATCTTACTCTAGGGTATATTCTTGATTCCCATTTCAATATATTCGATAGCTGGATATTGTCTAACAGATCTCCCAGCACCATGTTTTTCGTTCTCCTTCAGATCTGCCACAGTACTTTTAAGTCTTAGAATATGCTTTGTTAACATAGGAATCCACAGTGAACATATTAGCAGAATAACTCAAAAAATTTTCTGTACTTCCTCACTAGAAAAATCCCAGTGGATTAAGACAGCCCTCTCATTTTTTAGACTCGGATTAAGGCCAAAGTAAAGAAAGAAGGTAAATATTGAGAAAGCGCCAGGATAAAGTTCAGAGATGAGGAGGACATCCTGGCTGCTCACTGTTAGTACCTCACTGCTTCACACCAAGTGCCGCCTCGTGGGGGCCTGAAGAAAGCTGGCGTGGCTCTTGGCCAACCACCGTTCTCTGCACACAGACCTCTCCCATAGCAGCTCCCGGCCTCAGCCTCACACTGTGCAGGTCTCACCAGCACACTGGCTTTCGTCTTCACCTCCCCCCAGCAGCTCCCCACCTGTGGGCCCCAGCCAGCCTTGCTGGGTTTTCCTAGTGTTTTAACTGGCCAAGGTCTAAACCATCAGACCTTAGGAACAGGAGCAGCGTGTCAACACAAGGTGGCTGGAACACACTCATTTTTACAAACTGGTCTGAATGTGGTCTGGCCTCTCTGCTAGCAGGTGAAGGGGCGCTTTCTCCCAAAGAACAGGCCATTGTCAAACACCTGCTGGATGGCACATGCAGCTGAGCTCAGCTCTTCAGGTACTTTACACAAGCTAGGCAGAGAGTGCATCCAGAAAGCGACCCTGGAAAAGCCTGTCCTGGAATTGAGGCCCTGAGGGAGGCTCTGAGCAGGTCACTCTTTAGAGCCCGGCCAACCCACCAGAGATGCTGGGCACTACTCAGGACAAACCTCTAGGGAGGAAGCGATGTAGCTCTCCTGCAGACCTGTGCGATGGAAGGGTGCCCCAGAGTGACGCTGGGAAAGAAAATCCACCTCTGAGAAGAGCAAGACTAGTCAAGAAGTGACCATTACTATGGTCTTGCTTGCTTGGCTGGTTCTGCAGGTCTACAGAGCAGAGGTTGGGCGCTCGGTGTGGAGGGAGGATGACCTCCAGTCAGGCACATGATCCAGTCACACCCACGTCAGCTTCTACTCCGAGGGTCTCTCGGCCCACCCACTCGCTCTCATCCAAGCACAGGAAGCAGGACTTTCTGGACACCTACCCCTGCCTCAGCATCTCCCCATGCAGGGCTCTGCTTAACCAGCTCTGGGGGTCTCAGAGCACCGGCTGCTGGGGGGGCGTGGTTAGAAGCCAGAGGTAGTTTACTGTATTTACTACTGATGCTCAGTTCTTTGGATGAGGAACACCACCCCCCCACCGCCGACGATTGTTAAGATGCCTGATTGCTTTGCCTTTTTAGCTTTAGAGAGAGGTAAGGGGCAAAACCATGAACGAAAGGTGTTCCAGTGCTTGGGCACTGTAGGGCACCTGCTTGCCAAGGTCCAGAGTAGAACAGAAACCCGTAGTTCCCTTCGCCAAAGTTCAGCTTCCCGGCAGCACCTCGAACTGCTGCTGTGTAAGAGGGAAAAGGGAGGAAGAGGGAATAAACCACAGGGCAAACAATTAGAATGTGTTAGCAAATGCTACCATGCGGAACACTAAACTTTATTCACTTTATTTATATATTTAACAGTTCTAAAGTATTTACTTCCTGCTTTGACAAAAAATGAAAAATATAGGAGCACTGACTGACTCCTCTTTAGGAGAAAGGGGTTATATGTACAGCTACGGAGAGTTACGGTTCCTCCTTTACATACAAAGAAAAATATTAATAAAAAAGTGCTTCATTGATCGAAAAGGGCTAAGAGCTGCAAGCATTTATTCACACTGTACATCAGACCCAAGAAACCCGTATCATAACCTCTTGGCACCTGTCACTAGGAACTGCACACTCTTTAATTAGACTGACTTCTCCCCACCTGCATGGCCAGAACATACAGAGTGTGGAGAAAAACTACACCCTGTTTCACTAAAGTCAGACTCTGAGCTACCTGCAGCCACTAGAAGTCAGAGACTCATTCTGATGCTCTTGGCTTTGCCTGGACTGACAGCTCCAGGGGAGGCTCTGGGCCACCTTGTAACCACACCCAGGCACACACAGGAGCCACCTTCCTGAGACACAACTTCCCTTGGCCAGGGAATTGCTTCCAAAGGGTCAGAGAGTTCCCCGGCCTCATCCCCATCTGCTCACCACAATCCGCCATTACCAGTTAGCAGCTTTTAGCAGAGCCAAGCATGGCCCTTCCCCAAGAGGGAGGGCAGGCACAAAACATGGATGCCAAGATTACAAAGCACAAACCTTCCCCACACTCACTCTACCACAAATATTCTTGATTTAAGGCTCTTTTTGGACCACACCAAACTTACTGGGAAGGGTGCCCCAAATCTCCTACGGGCTGTGTCACAAATTTTCTAAAGAACCCTGCAGAGTCACCAAGTGTCCCCTCACTGCTGGCCAGCAGCACAGGAGCAGGGCAGGGGGATCGCTGGGCCCTTCCCACTGCCCCAAAAAGGGAAGGGAAGGAGGAGGAAGGCTGATTGTATAGGACATGCTCCCTTTTCCAGAGGCTTGCACTCTAAAAGGCTGATTCTACCCCTTAGGGGGGAGATCCATGATTTGTTTGGTTTGGGAATGGGGAATTTTTGGAACCCTGAGTCTGGATTTCCCTGTGCTGGTCAAGGAAGAGAGATTGTTTGGGGGACCAGGCCCCGGAAGGGGCTTCCAGGTGTGCCCGGGCTCAGGGCAGGCTTTGGCCTTGGCCACAGCAGTAGGACGCCGCACTCTGCCCAATATGCACTCTTATGCCTGAGGGTGGGAAGTACTACACAGCCTGGCCGAGGGAGGCCTACTCCTGACCGTGAAGGGAGCCCTAGACCATCCAAGGTCAAGTTAAAAACAAAATCCCATGCAAGAGAGAACATGCCACCCCCATTCCCAGTCCCTCTCACTCGCTTCAGAGAAACAAACACCTTCCTTCCCCAAAAAGGGGCCTGGAAGGGTTCCATTTACTCTGTGTCCCTTCCTCAAATGCCAATCCCATTTATCTCTGAGGTTGGACAGGCCCAGCTCCTCTCAAGAGAGAGATGGCACTCAGGGCAGTGCTCCAAGGGAAGATGCTTTCAGCCTCCTCAGCAGCAAAGGTTTTTCCAATCAGCTCTGATGTGGCAGTAGCATGAGAAATGGTCACAAACATCTGCCCTGGCCTGCTTCCCCCCACTCACTCATCTCGTGCCTCCTCCCCTCCTGAGGAACCAAGCCAACCTTCAGCATCACAGGACAGCAGGCGGCTCAACAGTTTACAGGGGGCCTGGCAACCTCTGGTCTTTCATTTAAAAAAAAAAAAAAATTAAGACAACCAGGGGACTTCTTTCTTTTTTGGAGGCAGAAGATGGAAAAGGAGGGAGGAGGGACAACAGGAAAGAAAAGCCGATCTACAATCCAGTGGTACATCCCAAATTTCTGTCACTCTGCACAGGTGGTTCCATGCCCCCATTCCAAAGTGCACGGGCCTCTCGGTCTGTCCAGGCTGTGTGGGCCTGTCAGAGGAACAGCAGCTTGGCCTCTGCCCGCCCCAGGTCACTGAGCTTCAGTTTGAAGTGGCAGCAATGGGCTTATCCAGTTCAAGGTCAATGCTGGAGCTTGTGGGATGAAGGCTGCTATAGCAAGACTTGCACACTCGACTGGGTTCAAAGAGCTGCTGGCTGGGAACTGGAACCTTCTGATTACAACAACTGGAGCAGAACACATTCCCACAATTCCTTGAGATGGGGAGAAGAAGGAAAAACACAGTTAGTTTCGGTCGCAGGTATGGTGTGAGGAAACCAACTTCAGAAGACAGAACTTGGTTGTGGTAATTCGAATGTGCTGGAGACTCCTCCAAGACTGAACTGTCTCATTTGTCTAGCCCAGGAAAAGCCAGGGTGGGGGTGGGGGTGGGGGGCAGGAAGTCCCTGCCTAGTGTAGCTGCACAGCACTGTGACTTTAGGGCCAAGGACACTTGGCTGTCTCACCATATGGCTCAAGGTTACAGGTGCACAGGGGGGATGATGCTCAAGAGAGATCCAGGAGAACAAAAGGGCCCCACGCAGCAGTAGGTTCTAGAACACTGGCTAAGTCCTGGCCCAGAAAACCCAGTGAGCCATACCCACTTGGGCAATGGCCTCTGTGTAGCTCATGGTCACAGAGAGACCAAAGTCCAATGGAACTACCTCCGAGCCCTTCAGAGAAGACAAACTACCTACCCAAGCTGGGTTGGGGTGAGGAGCCTTGTCCAAAAGGCTACATCCCCAGAGGCTCGGAGGCAGCAACATGAAGAACAGACTGCTGCCATCTAGGACTGCCCTGCTGCCAGCATGCAAAACCAGAAGACAAGCAACACATGCTCAAGGTGAAAGGACAAGAGAGCACAGATGAACACACGTGCACAAACACCCCCCTTATTAGATAGGTGTCAGTCAATTACGGCTCACTCCCCTGCCCCCATGCATTTACCAGGAACTGTCAGAGCTCCACCCGAAGGCCAGACTGTACTCAGGCCTCAGGTCTCCCTCTCCTCCACTTGAAAGCCCAGCTCTGATGTGTCCATGCAGCAAAGGTGCCCACAACCAAACAACTGCCCTTCAGAGCTAAGAGGAAAAGGTACTGGTAGAGAAGTTTCTGCTCACCTTACAACCCCACTCTGCTAGGCCCTGAAGTACAATTCAATCTCAATAAACCCAAGAATGGGAGACTTCAAGGAGCCTGACATAGCCCACCAAAGACGTGGGGAAAGCAGCTGAAGGGAAATGCTCCCCCTTAGCCAGCATCACTCGCTACCTTTTCATTTATGCTCTTCAGAATAGAAACCCACAGAATGTAAACTAAGGACCACCTGGGCACAGAGGAGAGAATACTAAATACCCGTTGGGGACCCAAAAAAAAAAAAAAAACCCACAAAAGGAAAGGCTAGACATGGGTCAATGGAAGGACAGAGAACTAAAACAAACACACATAACTTCATCTTCTAGAACGCAGTAAGAACCTCATGTTTCTGAAAAGCATGAATCAGCAAGAACCTGTGGTTTCACAGAAAAATTACCTAAATCTACTTCTGAACATCTTCATTTATTTAATATACCTGCTGGAGTTCATCCTGCTATGAATCTGACCAACTAAGCTTTCCTATCTGGCTTTTTTCAGGGGATCCTGACAGACCCCAAGTGGAACTCTGCACTAAAGTCTTCCCTGCTTTAACAGTTCTCTGGAAAGACCACCTCTGTTCAGTCCTGGTCTCTTTGTTTAACAAAAAAAAAAAAAAAAAAAATTGGAGCAGCAATGCTGTCTGACTCTCATATTATGAAGCATCATTCTAGGATCCCACTGAATGACTAACCCAAAGAAAATAGCTCTGAAAACCCAACTGGCTCTGCCACAAGAGCAGCCCCTGCTGAAGCCCAGCTTCTAAGTCACAAGCAGGATGGCTCCGCTGACCTGTGTGGTCAGGAGGGGAGCACATGGCTGCAGTCTGACTCAACCCTAACTGTCTCCCCAGTTGGCTGCTTTGGTTTCCCCCCAAGCCCACCTGCCTGCCTGCCTGCCTGCGCTCCCAGCCCCAGGCTTCATCCCAGTGAGTGCAGAGAGGGGAAAATGGCAGCGTTAGTGTGAAGTTATTGTAGATGTGCAGACATCACAGACAGGTTGTTGCAAATGCTCACCACGTTTGATCAACACGGTCAGTGTCCCTGCAAGGAGGGGAGAGAGAGCTCAGAGGAGAAGCCAACCAAAGACACACGGGCTTGGGGTGCATGGGAGGGAGATACATGATCCTGAAGCATCATTACTAGACAAAGAGGTGGTTCCATTTTCTACCTGGGTTCTCTCCTGGATGAGCTATATCAGGATTCAGATAAAACTTCCTACCCCAAGAACACTGCACATCCTCCAGTCAGTCACCACCCCAGCTGGGGCAAAGCATTCCTAGCAGCTAACTACCCCAACCAAGAAGAAAGAAGTCGGGAGCCTTAAGGATTGAAGACTATATCCTCAGCTGTACCTACCAGTCCCTACAGCTAGGTCTCCTCACTACTACCACAAGACAAGTTTGGGGTCAGGGAGCAGGATAAGGAGTAGGAAAATGAAGTTCCCTGCCTACAGCAGGAAAAATTTTCTGGCTCAGGGCATCCATGTTGAATGGGAAGAACTGGTAGGAATAAGAAATGGTAGTCTGGGCGGCAGCTGTTGCTCTGCTAATTCAGGAAACAAAACAGAACGAAAGGGGACATCATTTGCACATTTTAAAATTTAGTCATGATCACTCTGAATTGGGAAAAAACCAAAACAACAAATGCAAAAACCCATTTCAGAGGCACAAAAGATGAGCTGGAGTCCTGTAGACCCAGGTTCTGCCTCAGAGGGGACACTGCCAGCCAGACGCCTGCATCTCTCCAAGCTGCAAGCTCTGTGGGTCAAACCTCAGCCTCCAAACCCTGGCCCATCCCACCCCCACCACACACCCAAACGGCACCTGCAGTGGTGCTTCCTGCTGGCAAGCCAGAAGGCGCTGTCACACGCATAGCAGTGGGCAGCCAGATGGTCAGGGAGCCAACGGGTCATCTGTAAGACAGGTGGGGCCAGGTTAGTGACCGGAGATGGGCCATCGAGCTGGAGCCAGCAGAGCCATGCTGGGGGCAGCAAGAGTCACAAGGACCATACTGGCTCCAGCAGCACCAGCCCAGCAGGTTGATGTCAGCAGTACAAGAAAGGCGTCCAAATCATTTCCCTAGCGGGGACTCCAAACTCCCCTGAGATAAAGTATCAGGCAGCAGCACCCTGGGTCGCCGTAAGACCGGGCAAGGCTCCAGTTCAGAGAGGCAAGGAGGAGAGAGAACCAGATTGCTGGGTCTCCCTGGCTCAGAAATTCTTGGCTCGATGGGGATTCACAGAGGCTCAAGGCTAAGTGTGCTATGAGGTTATTCCTCAGCCAGGGGCACGGGACAGGGATGGGGGTGGAGAAGAACCGTAAAACAGTTGCATGGACGGTACTCAGAACAGGGGCTGAGCCTGTACCTCCGTGTCCTGTTTATCCACCTGCTCCCAGCTGGCTTCAGAGAAAATCTCTGTGCTGCAGCGAGACAAACAGTTCTGATCCAGATTGCTTTCCGAGTCGGGGATTGAAGTCTGTTGGCAAACAAACAGAGCTGAACAGAATGAACCTGGCTCCTCCCAGAAGAAAGGGCTTAGTAAAGAAGGGAGCACTGGGGACTTCGGGTGGGCCTGAGTATTGAGGGCTGCCAATCTGTTGGCGCCTCAGCCATCAAGAAATGGGTTGAGCAGGTGCAGAGACAGGGCTGAACTCAGGTGGAAGAGAGATGCACAGGTCTAAGGCTGTGTGCAGTGACTGCAGGGGAAGGACAGGCCTTGGGCTCCAGGAAGTGAATGGGGGTGGAAGTGACCAGGGTGGCGTGTGAACTCTTGAGTCAGCTGCTCCAGTGAGTCTGTTACTCCAACCCTGCCACTTACATCTGCGTGTTGAAACTGAGTGCTTTGGGCATGTCCTCCTTTCTCTGAAGGACTCTTTGGGAAAATGAGAAACTATCATTAGTATGAAGGAAATACCGAGAAGTCAGTTTGAATTGAAAGTCATTGGATGAGCCCGCCTTTAGTGTACGCTGACCACTTCAGAGCCAGGCTCCCTCTTGTACTTGAACACATCAAGTCAGATCCAGCCTGTGAGGAAAGCACCTCCCTGAGAGCCTCCCCTCACGTAGCCCCTCCCCCCACTTCCAGTACCAGGCACCATCAGTGCTAACTCCTCCACAGTGCCAGAAACCAATCCCGTCTTCCCATTTCTACTGCCGTCACCTGCCACAGGGCAGGTACAAATATTTGTTAAACTACAGCCGAGGGGAGGGGGAGGCAGGGGAGCTCACGGTTTACTAGCTACTAGGGTAGGACAGGCATCATAATTTGACAGAAATATTTGACACTGCCCTACTAATGTCATTCCACCCAGGAGTTCATGCCTTTTCTTAAAACATGATCCTCTCTCCAAAGAGATCGGACCAGCCACATACCGAGTGCTGTCTTCCTTATTCTAACTGCCTAAACAGGACCCCTGTGGCAAGCAAGCAAGGCAGGAAAGAGCAACAGGCCGACTGCCATTCACGGCTGATGCTGATCTCCAGCCTCTCCAAAGAACTACTCTGGACCTTTCCAATTCTTCTAGAAATCTGTACCAATCACTGTGCACAGGGCACAAAGAGCACCCAGCCTCAGTGTGCCCTCTCCTAGGGCAGCTATGGAGGCACTGTGGTCTACTCACCACTTCATCCCCAAAATCCCCATTGAAGCGGAGGGAGCCAGTCAGGTACTGGCTCTCCAGGCGACTCCTCAGCTCCTGTACTTGTTTCTTCAAGGTCTCCACTTCCTGCTGATGGCCTGACTCAATCTGACGCAGGCGCTGCTGGATAGTGTCCGTGTACACAGGCATGCCATCGTCGTCCAGGTGGCTGCGGGAAGGCTGGTCAGGGCTGCCCGTTGTAGATGGCCTCCCAAAGTGGCTGTGCAGCCACTTGTGGTGCAAGTTCCTCGAGTGTAAGTGGGCAGAGCCGCAGCTTGTAGCAGACAGCTGGCGGCTCAGTGAGTCCTTGCTCTTGCCAGCCTCCCCATTGGTGCAGTGCCCGTTGGGGGTGGCGTGCTTCTGGAGAGTGCTAAGCTCTGGGGGCTGCTCTAAAGCCTTATTTTCGGTCTCTGGGGCACCATTGCACACAAGCCCCTCTTTACATTCGGCTAAAGGCAAGGCACAAGGAGAATGTGTTGGGCTGTGGGTGCTGCCAGGGGAAGTCCTATGTACCACAGACGCCACCTGGGGCCTCTCAGCTAGGCTCTTCCCCGAAGGCCGGGGCTCCATGGTTTGAGGAAGCATATGCTTGCCACTGAACCAGCCACGGTTTACCAGGCAAGGTGTATGATGGCCTTCGGGCCCACTTTCCAACTTGACTTGATCTTCTGTTAACCTGTCCACTGAACTGTCTGTATTTGGTCCTCTGGCCTCAAATGGGACTTGGGAGGGCAGCAGAGAACTTGAATGTGAGGTATCATAGCCAACTTTTGTATCTACTGGGACTGGAAGAAAAGCTTCCTCCCTACCCTCTGTGGTAGCTCCTATTTGGGGCTGTTCCACAGGGACCTGTGCATCCTCTCCCTCGGGGGACTCTGGGAGAAAACTGGGAAGAACACTGGGCCCACCCTGCTGCTCAGGAATATCATGGGAGAACACAGAGAGGCCAGTGCCTGGACGGTTGACCAGAGCAGCATCACCCAGTTCTGGTTCTTGAGGAAAGATAATGGCTGAACCCTCGGGGGTCTTCGCCCCGATCTGCTTTTCTAAGACAGCCTCCTCTTCGACCTCCTGCATCTCAACGCTCCCCCTATGGGGAGGTTCCTCTACCCCACTCTCCTCTTTGGTGGCCTCTTGCAAAATGTTCTCCATCTGCCCCTCAGCCACTCCAGCCGCGACAGACAGCTCGGCACCGCCCAGCACTTTGGTTGGCTTTCCCAGGCTGTCAGGATCGAGAGGCTCCTCCCCAGGACCAGCTAGGCTGCTCAGTTCCAGTGACCGCCGGTGCTCCTGCCACTTCTCATTCAGACTTGGGTCACTGCTGCGCCGGCTGGCCAGAGGCACTGTGTTGTCACAAGCTGTAGTCAGATTGTCAAATGATCTAGTCTTTGGTAGCCTAAACAAAAGGAGTTTGAGGGAAATGAGAATCTGAGGCTGTTCAGAGGAAAGTAGGAGACAATTGGTTTTAACAGGCAGTTGTTTCATAACTGGGTCCACTCCACTGTAGCTCCTCAAGGAGCCCTAGCATCTCCAAAGTGTGGCTCAGACTGACAGGCAAAAAGCCCCAGGATTGGCCCTTCTTCTAGTCTGCAAATTTCCTCTCAACCTACCCGGCTGGCCCCACCCCACCCCACCCCACCCTGTGTCCCTACAAATAAACAAACAGCAAATGCTGTGTTTAAAAAAGCATCATGATACTGCTCTATTTCTCCACTAGTGGCAAAGGAAAGTAGCACTGCTGGTTTTCTATTACAATATTTTAAATTAACATGTTGTTTAGCAGTCTGAATTCAGTAAAGTTAATTCTCCAGTGGCAAAGCCAAACTTTGTATCATCTGATAGCATTTGCCTTTCAACCCCAACAAGACAAATGACAGCAGAAAGGCAAGAGCACAGAGCAGTGGCTGAAACTCAAGCCAGAGGGTCACAAGGAACCTAGAGATTTGCACATTAACTGAGAAATGGCTTGTTGCATGTAGCCCAGCAATATAGTGACAGGGCCCAGTGCCCTTTAGGAAATGAGACTCTCATGGCCTCAAAGCCTAAAAAAAACCCTTATAACCTGCCCTGAGAAAACTTCAGAGATCTAGGCGAGACATGTGGAGCCAGACGCCATGATCTCTGACCGTGCCTGTGTGTGCCCAACACAGAAGTGCGGGACTGGAGGCTCGGCATCAAACCCGGGCTCACCGGCTCAGGGGCGGATCATCAGGGCTGGTGCCGGGGGCTGGGTATGGTGCACAGCTATCGTCCACGGGGGTGGATGGGGATGGACAGGGCAGGTACACTGCGCTCCACAGCATCAGGTTACGCACGTGACACACAGGGTACAGCACCTGACAGGAGAACAGAGGGGATACAGGTTTAAACAAATCCAGAAATGAGGGTCAAAAAGTCACCAAGCTGTAATATCCAACAGGTGTGCACCAGCTGCATTTCCCACCTGAGGGCCTCTTGTGGGCATGAAAATCTAAAGGATTTTTAAAAATCTATTCCTCATTACTTCTTAGGTCCCCTTTATTGAATGACCTACTTTCATATCAGCTTGATTTTAGCTGCTTTTACTTCATACGAAAGTGAGTCGTTTCACTAAATGGTGACTGTGTTTCCTTGTACAAAAACGTGGCTTCGAAAACACTGTCAAACCTGTTGTACAGGATCATTTAAATTAATTATGGGAAAAAAAAGGGAATTTTCTTCCTATACTTGACTTCCCCAGCAGGCACAGTGAAGGAAAGAGAGAAGCAGTTAGTGTAAATCTTTCCTTTGACTACTTAAATGTAGTGAGAAGAATGTTAACAGTCCAGTGAAGCAATACAACCTCTCATGAAGCTTCCTTTTGACTTCTTTAGAATTTAAGATGCATTCTGACAAAAGGAACATCACCATGTATCAACACAGATGTGCGTGCCTCCTTTCTTCTGCTTAACTGAAGGTGCTCCTTTGCAGAAAAAAGTCTACCAGCTCTCCATGTGAGCAGAAAATCACATGGACACACATGCTAGTGTCAAACACACTTCTGCTCTCAGAGACAGGAGCTGCAGTGTGTATCATCACCTGATGGCACTGGAATGGTGCCAGGGGCCTGGTGGCAGCTCCTAAGCTATCATGGGCACCCAGGGGACAACTAGGTTCCCCTTCCATTTGTTAGACAGAACATATCAAGAGTGAGTTAAGCTCTGAAAGAGGTGCCAAAAAGATTCGTGTCCGGAGTGGCAAAATAGAGATGGGTATTAAATCAAACCACCCTAAGCAAAAAGGGGTTAGAAGCAGATCAGAGCAGCACCAGGAAACAAGCCTTCCTCGGGACAGATGGAAAAAACAGAGAAAACAAGTTTGCTTGAGAAAACAGAGATGCCTCTTAGAAAACAGTCACTACCGAAAATGGCTCCCATATGTCACCACCCCCAAATTCCTTCTGCTGATCAGAGAGGAAAGGCTGAAGGATACATACGGCTTCCGACTGAGAGGAATACAGTAGGTTTTTGAAAGCCTTGTTGCCTGCCCGAAGCAACGACCACACAGAACATGTCCGCTCCTGAGTATGCTTTTCCCCTCTCTCCTTGGCATTGTTGCACAGGAATGTTCCAAACAGGCAGGAATAGGTATGTTGCACCAGTTTCACCTGTGGGAGTCCAAAATCAAGCAACAGGGTATATGTCTCTGGGGGAAGGGTAGCCCTGCTGAGCCCCCTTCCCCAACACCCCCGAGAGCACCTCAGAATTCACACTCCATAAGGATGGGGAAACCAAGTAAGCCATGGAAGAGCTGCCTCCTTGTACCACCAACCCCAACCACTAGCATTCCTGATTCAAAAGAGCAAAGATAGATCGCTGGCACCCCACTCCTCTTCGCCTCCCTGCAACCAGTTTGAGAAGTCCTGAGTTAACAGCCACACTCCAGAGCGACAGATCATCATCACTCGGGTACAAGAGCAGGTCAGTGTGCAACCCAAGTCTGAACTGAAAGCACATTTCTAAACAGCTTTTCATTCAACAAATCACTCCTGAGCATCTGACACACCCCAGAAATTTCTAGGGGTACTGGGTAGGCGACAACTCTCAGATGACTCTCCTGCCCTGACAGAGCTGGTTCTCCTGCCCTGACAGAGCTGATTCTAACTGTGGGGGAGAGGTGACCACTGCTATGGACCACAGTAAGGCAGGGTGAGAGGGACAGGGCACACACAGGGCAGCAGGAGAAGGAAGTGAGAGAGCAAGTTAAGAGGGTATCTGAGGGGGAAATGCTCCAGGCAGAGGCCAACAGCCAGCACAATGGTCTTGAGGTGGGCGCATGGTTGCAATTTCTTTCTTTCTTTCCTTTTTTTTTTTTTTTTTTTAAGATTTTATTTATTTATTTGACAGACAGAGATCACAAGTAGGCAGCGGAGGCAGGCAGAGAGAGGGGGGAGCAGGCTCCCTGCTGAGCAGAGAGCCCGATGCGGGACTCGATTCCAGAACCCTGGAATCATGACCTGAGCCGAAGGCAGAGACTTTAATCCACTGAGCCACCCAGGCGCCCCTGCAATTTGTAAGAACAGAAGGAGGCCAGTGTAACTAAAGGACACTGCACAAGGAGGGCAATGGCAGGAAATGAATCTAGAGAGGTAAGCTCTAGGACAGCTCTGCAGTCCATTTTAAGGACTGGCTTTTACTGTGTGAAATGGAAATCATTGCAGGTTCTTGAGCAGAGGAATGACATGGTCTCAGTTGTTTTAGAAGTACTGCCCCTAGATCCCTCTAGGAGCCAGGGTGGCTCAGTTAAGCAGCCGGCTCCTGATTTTGGCTCAGGTCACAGTGTCAGGTGGTGAGATCAAACCCCACTTCAGGCTCTGTGCTCAGCAGGGGATCTGCTTCAGATTCTCTCCCTCTCTCTCTGCCCCTGCCCCTGCTTGTGCGCTTTCTCTAAAATAAATGAATGGATAAATCTTTAAAATAAAGAAAAAAAGAAAGATCCCTCTAGTTGACTCTCCAGAATTAAGGCAGGAGATGGTGATAACTTTGGACCAGTGTAGGAATAGTAGAGATAGCAAGAAGTAATCAGGTTTTAGATAGATTTTGGAAGCAAAGCTGCAGATCTGCTGACAGACTGAACATGGAGTATGAAAAGAGGAGGAGGAGAGTTGGGCAGGCCATATGAGTTTCTGCCCTAAGTAAATGGAAGGACTGAGTTGCCCCCTAGTGGGGGCGAAGACTTCTGGAAGATCAGATTTTGGGTGGGAAGATGTGGAACTCAAGAACCAAGCTTTGAACAGGTTAAGTGTGAAATACCATTAAGACATCCATGTGGAGATACTGAGCAGTCACAGTTGGGTATGCGAGTCTGGAATTAAGTGGAGAGATCTGAGCTGAAGACATAATTATAAATGTAGGAATCATGGATAGCAATCAGAGCCATCGGGACTGGAGGAAATCCCCAGAGAGGCAGTAAGATACAGAAGCACCTTGGAGGCTGAGTCCTGGAGCATTCCAACATTCAGTACTGGGAAGATATGAAGGAACTAGCACAGGAGACAAAAAGGACCAGCTAGTGAGGCAAAGAAATAAGGCAGAGTTTGTACTGGCAGTCAACTGAAGAAAGGGTTTCAAGAAAGGTGTTATTAAACTGTGCCAAAGAGTAAACTGAAGAGAGTCAAAGGAACGAAACTCCAGTCATAAAATAAGTCAGTCCTGGAGATGTAATATACAGTATGGTGAATATAGTTAATACTCTACTGCGTATCTGAAGGTTGCTAAGAGTAGGTCTTAAAGTTCTCACAAGAAAAAAAATTTGTGTGGCAATGGACGTTAATTATTGTGATTATTTCACAACATACACAAATATAGAATTATGTTGTATACCTGAAACTAGTATTACATTGTCAATTATACGTGAATTTAAAAAAAACTTCTTAGCAAGATGAAGACAGAGAGCTGATCACTGGATTAGCAACATGAGAGAGCTCTGCTAAAGTGGTTGGGGGAACACCTGAACCTGACTGGGTTTAAGAGAATGAGAAAAAAGGAATTTGAGACAGTAAATGCAGAAGACTTGAGCTCTGCTGTGAAGAAATGAGACAGAGGAAATAATTAATACCTGGCAAGAGATGAAAAGCTGAGAAAGGGTTTTCAGGGGATGGGAGGTACTACTCCATGTCTGAGTACTAATGGCAACGATGTGGTAGAGAGGGAAATACACCAATGCAAAATGCAAAGGACAGAAATGCTGGCACCATGCAGCTGAGGAGAGGACAAGCAATGGAAGGTGGTGCAGCAGTGGATGGAGAGGCTGGAAGAGGGCAAAGACAGTGAGTCCTCTGTCAAAGGAAAAGGTGCAGTGAGTGTGGGACACAAGCTGGGTCCAGGGTTTGGGGGGACAGGACAGTGAGGAGATTGGCAGATGGACTGCAGGGAGCCGAGGATATTCTATTATTTCTCTTTTATTTTTTAAAATCTCTACACCCATCGGGAGGCTCGAACTTACAACCCCGAGATCAAGAGTCAAATGCTTCACCGACTGAGCCAGCCAGGCACCCCCGTTATTTCTCTAAATATTAGAGAATACATGGAGTATCTAAATATTTAGGACTTCTATCATCTATTTTAAAAGCTAAGTATAAAACAACTCAAAGACTTTATGCAAACCTAACACATCTATATTCACTGAAGAAACACATACTTCTTACTGTTTTTAATTAGAACTGGGAGAAAGAATGGCCCTTATTAAATTCTAAAAAGAATTCATAGCTTCATGTGAAAACTAACCCACTAACATTTGCATTGATACCCCCATAATTTTAGAAGGTCCCCAAAATAAAGAATTACAAGCCCCAACTCACAAGGAATGCTTCATTGAACTCAAAAGAGCAAGGAAATTGCCTCTGAAGCTGATGAACGCAGTCAAGCCACTGCAGAAACACGGGGCAGCGCTCGTTCAGGTCATCGGAGTTCTCCCCGTGACCACACCGGTCGGCAAACTTGTGACCAAAATCCAGCCACTCCATCTCCACGAGGACCTGGAAACCCTGCACGGAAACACCCAGGATAGACCATTTGTACTTATCTATGGAGACTATGACAGTCCTGAGCCTGTCAGGACTAACAGCAATAATCCCTTTTAATACCCTCCCAGTAAGCCCAACAGGAGGGCCTGACCCAGCCCCATAGCCAAGGGCTCCATGGAACACATCCTTAGGGCAATTTCCCACTTCACTCAACTCCATTCCATAATTATCAAATGGGTACAAATCATTTAAGCCTTTCCTGAGTCTATACTTTCTTTCACTATGTAGTGTAAGAACCACATTTTTTCTAAACTTATTTTTTAATTTCTTTATTTTGTGTTATACTTACTAAGTCTTGTTTCTAATATCTTTCCCTACCCCAGATTTAAATGTATTTTAGGGCACCTTTATGGCTTTTCTTCTATCTTTAACCCAAAATGTGGTTCTTTCAGAGTAGGGCTCTTTCTCCACAGAACACTGTAGTGATATCCGGACCCATTATCAGGATGTGCATGCCAAGATCCTACTATAATATCCCCATTTTCCTGGAGTAGCCAAAACTTTCCCAGGTAAATAGACTACAGAGGAAAACATGTCTAATTTCTCAATACCTTGTTATCTACAATCTGCTCCATTTTAAAAGGCACAAGAACTGTGGGAGGCACCACCACAATTTAGCTCAAGGCAAAGGAGCAATAGTTTTAAAACAAATTTCACTCTCTTTAGGCCTAACCACCAAGACCAAAACTGATCCTAAAACCATCCAAGGTTTCGCCCACTCATTCTGATGTACCAAATCCTACACTTGGGATGCACCCACCTCTATGGTTCGGTAATACGGATCCAGCAAGAGCTTAGCCAATGCCACAATCTGGGGAGTGCGGTCCCAGCCATCTGAGCAGTGCGCTAGTACAGGCCGCTGATCACGATCCACGGCGTGCACTACCAGAAGTGCCGACTTCAGGAGCACAGACAGGTGATGGAGCCATTTTGTGCTTTCAAGGGCTGAGAGCCAACTATAAAAATAAAAACAGAAGGGGAAAGGAAATGCGGATTTTTATGGTTTACGGCATCATGCCAAATACCCATGAAATTAAAAGGCAATTCCCAAAGATCTTTCCCTCCTAATAAAACAGTGCCCAAACAAACAAATCTCTGTCTTTATAAAGCATGTATAAAGATGCAGGTAAACCCCTACTATGCAACAGAGGACAGCTTTAGAAATAGGACAGCAATTAATAGAATTTTTGTTCTAAAAATCTTATGGCTAGTTTCTGAGAATGAGTGAGTAGTATTTTTCAGTCCGTGGTAGTTATATATCCTGTATAAGTAGTTCTTCCTGGAGTCTTCTGAAGGAAATAGTAATTACGCCACTTGGTTAAAGTCACACAGTCAGTTAGTGGCAGATCTTCTGAGACCTCAGCCAGGCTCTTTCTATGCCCCATCTTTGGGGAAGAGAGCACTACTGGCTGTGTAGCAAATACAAGTTGCTAATCCCCACGGCAGAGAAGCAAGCTCATTCTTGGGTCAGGCTTTTTCCCCAAAGACAATTGCGCTTCACCCTCTGGGCTGATTCCAACTGCGATGAATCTAATCCCTTACTAGCAAGTGTTAGTGCAAGTGGTTCAGGCAGCCATTTGATTGAATAAATCAAGGAATTCTGCAAAACTTCATGTGATCAGATCTACTGAACAGAACCCAGGGAAAGAGCTATGGGCTCCAGCACAAATACCAGAAAAGAGAAAATTCTGTCTTCTCTGGCACCATTTCTGGCTTCCTGAAATAGTAAAACAGGGTCTTTTAAATATTTATCTGTCCGTATTTGTTTCACAGACCATTCCTGCTAATTTTTCTTGTATTCAACCAGTTCCCCTGGGTGGGCGGGGAGGGAGTGTTACTTCACCTACCTCACTGCAAATGCCAGCCATTCATTTTTAACAAGCAATTAAAATGTGGCAATGTTCGTAATGAGAGAGGGTAGTTTAGGACTCAGAAGCAAATGTAAAAGGATTTCACCAAATGGCAAGTTTAACCCTTTTTTACAACATGATGAATAAATTTTGACTCAAGGTAAAAACATCCCCCCCCAGTTCACAGCAGATAAGTGTTACCTATAGGATGTCAAAAACCAAAGAATTAAAAATGAGCCAAAAACAATGTAGAATAGAACAGGTCCCAGGAAAAACAAGAAGGCAGGGCTTCTGAGGACTGAGATCTGTTTTGTGCTCCACATCTTTAAACCTTTCAAAGGGCTAGATTTTTGCTACTGTGTGCCTAACATAGAAAGGAAAATGCCCACAGGGACTGAAAGTAAGACCGAAGTGTACCAAGAAACAGAAGAAAAGATACCTCCAAACTCATTAAGAAAGAAAGAAAAAAGGCAACGCAAAATTAAAGCTAAGGCCAAAGTCTTACTTTCCCGGATCCGGCATCTGTGTGCACAGCAACCGCAGAGACTGAAAACTCCTCCGAATTGAATGAATATTTGCCATCCCCATAAACACGACCTCACAGTTTGGGTAATACTCTGCAGAGAACAACAATAAAGAGAACAAAAATATGTTGACTTTAAAGCCCACATGGTCAAATTTAAAAGCAGCAAACAGGCTATAAAGCAAATCCATTATAGTTGCTGACGAATGAAACTGCTGTTTTGATGCCTATTAGTCTAGTCCTTTTATCATAGGAAAAACAGTGCTTGAATTTTAGCTGTTTTTGCAAAAAGGAAAGTTAGATTTGTGAAGATATGGACATAAAACAGAAGTTTTTGGGGTTTTTTTTTTTTTTTGGTTTTTTTTTTGTTTTAAACGATCTATAGCCTGCTATCCCATTTCAGGTTAACTTCTTGGGCCACATCCAACTTGTAGCTCTGGAATCTCTTCGAAAAGAAGCTGGCAGAAAAATGCATTTTATGTATTCACATATCACCTTCATACAACTGGCTTTCAATTTCCAGTTGAGATCACATCCCGATGAAGGAGCTTGGAGTCTCTCCCTGCTCCATCAGCGCACCACTGGCACTGAAGGGGACCCTCCTTGGAGAATACATTCAGAAAGCAGGGGAGCTATAGGTTAGGACAGAGGTACGCTGCTAGAGTCCTGTATCTGGTACTTCACCTTCCACCCCAGCCTTTCTAAGTAGAAGCCATGTGGGAAGTTTTCTCTGAGGTCAGTGAGGAGTAAACCCACTGTCAAAGGCAACGAAAAGCTTTTAGAAGGCTGAGAAATTGAGCCACTAAAGAAGCAGCTTCCAAACATGAACAGGCCTTATTACGGGGAGGATTTACTTTCTTTATCATCTAAAGGTTAGGAAGGAAGATTATTTGGTTTCCCTGCACCTCCTCCTCCACTTCCTCCCTGAAAAGAAACAAGTGTTAAGAATCCAAATAGCTCCGGCTTTCTCAAGATAGGCTGAAGAACATAGTTTGCTGTTCATTTCAAATTGAGAACTAAGACCCAGCTGGGCATGGGCTGGGTTCACAAGAACAGTGTCGGGACAAAGCACCATACACCTCACCCGGGCATTCACAGCCTCCTCCTTTGGCTCGGTTCGCCACAGCTGCAGCATAGGAACGTGCGTCCAAGATCAAAAGCTTCTGCGGTTGGATGGCTAAACTGTCTGCTCCTGAAGCATTCGACAGAGAAGAATCTAGGAACATCAAAGGCAGGAGTGAAAAACTAGAATGAACCCATCTCTCCCCAAAATTGTGCAAAATAATAACTAGAAACACCTCCTGCAATACCAAGAAACAAAAACCCTCAATTAAATGAAACCCACCTAACCAGAACCCTTAATACACAGGACTTCTCTATCTTCTGTTTTGTCTACCAGTCTCCTTTATCTCATTTCTACATGTACAGTCTTTTCATGAAGACTGGTGACTCCTGCCATGGTCTGGAGAAATTCCAGGTCCCCTATCACATACATACCCCATTGTTGTCACAATGACTAGAAAGAAAACAGACACATTAGCCCTCTTAAGCCAAGTCTGAAATAGTTGTCTGGTTCACTGTCCAGACCTAGGATTCCTCAAATAATCCCATCAACTGAAGCTTCACCCTCTCTCTCCTATGAAACAAATTATAGGTCTTACAAGGAAAAGGCCACTCAAGAAAAAGTTCTCAAAGATACTCTAAAAACTTCTGCTACTGGATCCAGGGAGCATCTTACCAAATTCCACATCAGAAAGGTCTCCCGCATGGGGAAAGTCTCGAGAACTGTTCCTAGTTGACAGCTTGCTGCCACTTGATCGGGAGTCAGAGGCACAAGCTTTGGCTACCGACTGCACCAGGTGCTCATCATCAGCATTTCGCCAGCCCCACCAGCTGACCTCCGGCTGTCCACAGCGGGCAATGACAGCTCCATTACTCTGGTGCCTGTGCAAGGAACAAGACACAACAACTATACCCATCTCAGCGGCCCCATTCCGATGCTCTGTGCTCATACAAAAGTAAGGTAGTAGATTTTAAATGTCTTAATGAAGAGCCCGAATACAGGTAAGCGATGAGTTAACTTCAAGTCCTCTCAGGGCAGAAATCTTCTATAGCATCAAGAGTAAACAACAAAACCTATCTTAATCTTTCTCAAAAATTGATCATTTTTGAGGCCCTGGTAAAGTCAGCAACAAAATGATAAATGTGTGCTCTTAGAAAAAACAAAATTTATATTCATTAAGCAAACAATTGAATCTTCAAATTTATTTTTGGAAAATTGGGTAAAAATATAATCTACAAATACTACACTAATTCTGCTATTCAGTAATGAAACATTAATCTCTTCTTAATACTGCACCTGAATATCCTGGCATAATAGATGCTGACGCAGAAAAATTTGTTTCCACAACAACTTCTAAGGGCCCACTGCAGCAACTGTACACTTATGGATGGCTTGGGGATTCTTTTTAAAACAAGATCCCACCTTTGGGACTCAAAACATTTACCTGGCCCACAGTGGACCACTCTACAAAATCTTCTGAGATTTCATGACTCACAAATTGCTCTTATTATAGGCAGATAGCTCAACATATCAGTACTTTTCCTTAAGCTCTCAGAAGGAAAAGCATAAACCTCAGTAAGCCATACTCGGACCCTTTTTTTTTCTTTTTTGATAGATCCTTTTGTAAAAATTAAGACCAGAAATCTTACTCAAAAGTCTTTAAGGTGATATTAAAACCTAGTCTCTTGGGGCACCTGGGTGGCTCAGTCAGTTAAGCATCTGCCTTAGGCTCAGCTCATCATCTCAGGGTCCTGGGATTGAGTCCCGCATTGGGCTCCCTGAGTCTGCTTCTCCCTCTCCCTCTGCAGCTCCCCTTGTTTGTGCTCCCTTTGCGCTCTGTCAAATAAATTCTTAAATAAGAAAATAAAAGAAATAAAAAGTAAAACCCAGTCTTTTCCTAGTTAGGAATTTAGTTAGGCAATTTTAGCAATTAAAAAGTTATTAAAGGGGGCACCTGGGTGGCTCAGTGGCTTAAGCCTCTGCCTTTAGCTCAGGTCATGATCTCAGGGTCTTGGGATTGAACCCCACGTTAGGCTTTCTGCTTCCCTCTCCCCCTCTGTCTGCCTCTCTGCCTACTTGTGATCTCTCTGTCAAATAAATAAATAAATGAAAATCTTTTTTTAAAAAAGGTTACAAAAGTAGTATTTGGCACAAAAGGTATAAAGTTCTAATAAATGCTACAACATGCATGAACTTGGAGTGTGTTATGCTAAGTGAAAGAAACCAGTTACAAAAGGCCACGCATTGTATGACTGCATTTATTAGAAGTATTCAGAATGGGCAAATCTGTACAAAGTAGATTACTAGTGACCTGGGGCTATGGGGATCGGGAAGGGAATAGGGAGTGACTACTAATGGGTCTGGAGTTTCTTTCTGAGAGGGTGAATATGTACTAAAATTGACTGTAGCGATGATTGTACAACTCTGAATATATTTTAAAAAATCAAACTACAGTGGCACCTGGTTGGCTCAGTGGGTTAAGCCTCTACCTTCAGCTCAGGTCATGATCTCAGGGTCCTGGGACTGAGCCCCACATTAGGCTCTCTGCTCAGCAGGGAGCCTGCTTCCCCCACCTCTCTGCCTGCCTCTCTGTCTACTTGTGATCTGTCAAATAAATAAATAAAATCTTAAAAAAAAAATCAAACTACACATTAAAAGGGTGAACTGTGATATTCACAAGGTAGTTTTTAAAAAGTTATAAAAGTAACCGGTTCGTTATAAAACTAAATTAGCAGAGTAAGTAGTAAGTAAAATGTTTAAATGCCCCCCAATTCTATCTCCCAGAGGAGAAGTATCCATGTCTTACTTCCCATTAAAATCTAAATACAGGGCCGGGTGGGTGACTCAGTCGGTTAAGCATTCAACTCTTGGTTTTGGCTCAGGTCATGATCTTGGGGTCCTGAGATGGGGCCCTACATTGCACTCCGAGCTCAGCACAAAGTCGGCTTGTCCCTCTCCCTTTGCTCTTCCCCCACCTCACACGCGCTCTCAAATAAAATCTTTTAAAAATCTACATACATACATTCATACACATCTATAACACATACATAGGAGACAGATCTAAATAAAACATACTACTGAATCTATTTGTCATCTTTAAGAAACAATGTGAGAAAAATTTTTGTTTTTAATCCTAAAGCTCACAGGCAGTCAATGAAATTCAGCAAGAACCATATTCCACTGGAACCATCAGTTTACTTCAGTTTTTAAATCCTCCAGAACAGAAAGACAAGTAACAGAAAGCATTAGCCAATATGCTCAGTGGGCTCACCTGCTGAATGGAGCCCAACTGGAAATCAAACCTAATTCCTAAAACGCCTAGTAGCACAGGTAATAGACACTGGGAAACAACAGAGCTGACTTATGCCAGACCTTCACAAAAGAGGCTGGCAGGGCCTTTCCTGAGCATCTTCTTTCTCTGCAATGCTCCTAGCAATGGCCAAGAGGAACAGAAGATGGCACTCTTCAGCTTGGATCTTGGGTTTAAAGGGTCATAGCATTTCTAACAGCCAGCCTCAACTGAAACTGTTGCAATAAGCAGTTTTCTTAAGTCTTCCGAAATGCTTTTGACTGCATGATCAAGAACTAAAACAATACAGCTAAAAATCATGAAAGAGCATTTCTACCATATCAACAAACAGAACCAAGGAAAAAGTATAAAAATGAAGATGTCCAATGGATGAGTCCCCTACTGAACACTGAATGCTTCAATTCTATCTACAAATACATAAATACTTAAACTATCCCTAAGTTAGTATTAGGCAAGCTCACTAAATGATTAGAAATTTCTAATAACCACTCAGTGCACAAAGGGGGAAGCTGTGAATTGCACTACAGATAGATGCCCTTTGCACCATCTTGCTGGGTTAGAGCAATCTTGGTCTTCAGTAATAAACCCAATTAAACACTCTCTCATCACAGTGGGAAAAAAACACTAATGAGGCGCTGGTTCAGCATGATGCTGTCAAGTAACTGCTGCTAGCAACTTCAGGAATCATTACTGCAGTCGACAGACAACTAAATTCAGTAAACGTATGCTGGATTCAGAAGCAGCTTGCCACCTGGCCTGGCAAAGCAGAGAGTGGCAGAGTATCCCCAAAACAGTCTTCTATATACCCCTTACAAAACTTCCCAACCATTTAAACAACCCAGTTTGGGGCTCAGAGATTCAAAACACATGTTCCCAAATGGAGGCTAGTTCCTAAAAGCCTATCTGAGTTTGTGTGGACTATACCAAGAACTTTTTTTTTTTTTTTTAAATACCAAGAACTTTCATTTGTAATCCTTTGAGAGCAGATTTTCTAAGAGAAATTGGAAATAAATTTCATTTATACATATATACTATGATCTCTAGAAAGGGCTGGGGGGAAAAAAAAACAACAACAAAACAAAACCATGGCCCATGCCCTCTAGAATAAATTTTAGAAGGGAAAAAAGGTTTCTTTTGTTTTTTTCTAAGTTTTTCTTTAACTTGCACTTACAGGCTTCTCTACCAACAAGGAAAATTCACCTAAAGCCCTGTACTTTGAAAATGACAGTCCTTTTTTCCTCTTATGCTCAAAGTCCACAAACCCTACAAATGCCAGGGCTGCTGATCTAACACAGCTGTTGGCCACAGAGCAGCAGCTGGCTGCTTTCCCTATTTGAGCTAGGCCAATCACTGCTAAGACACAAATCCTTTCAGCTTTCCCTGCTCTCTAATTCTTGTGTCATCCTTGTCACTTGAGTGATAGGTAAATTTGGTGACCTACTTTTCTAGGGGTATCTGAAAACAACAGTGATGAAAATTGAGATTGAAAACTTAATGAATTCCACTGGGCCAGAAACACTTTTTCATTCCGCTCTATTCAGGACGGCCATCAGAATTTGCCATCAGTGGACTAAATGAACAAGCTGGTTACCTCAGTGGAAATTCCACAAGGAGATAAATCCCTTCCTACAACATCAATATTTCAACGGAATGCTTCCTGGCATGGAAGTCTCTAAGTAAGCCCCAGTGGCTAGGCCCAAATTCAAGGAAAGCCCAAATCTGCAAACTGGAAAAATGGAATGGAGAATGTAAATACTATAAAGAGATGACATCTGAAACGATTTCAAAATAAGAGGCAATGACTTCTTCAAGTCTTAACTTGAGTCCTTGAGAGCTGAGCTATTCAATGAATTATATATAAAAGCAGTCCCCAGGAATACAACCTCCTCCATGTACTCCTTAGAGCAGCCCAGTATTCACAGATGCATTCATGCGGCTCAGCATACCTGTGAAGTAGGACCGTCATTCCTATTTTACTAATTAGGAACAGGCTGAGGTAAATTAGGAAATTTACTCAAGGTGCCTTAGCAAGAGTTATCAGTGAGAAGACCTGAACTCCCAAACCTGTGCTTGACACCACACCACCATTCCCTTCTAGAACTTGCCTCCCTTGGCTCTCAGGTCTTTGATCTTTTTAAGATCTTCTATCTAACCAAGCCCTAGCCTTCTCCTTTAAATGCTCCCTCTCAAAACAGAGCTCTTTCATGTGTCAGTTTCAACCACAAAGACAATCACAAATTACTTGACTTTAACTCCTCTCTCTCAATCCAAAGGCCAAATGCAGTAACAAATTATCTTCCCACAGAATGTCAGAAGGCTCTTAAAATAGCAAGACTAGCCACTTTTCTATTAAAGTTTTCTTATCACCTGAACCATGCGGTAAGTATCAGTGTGTCACCGTAAGAGTGGCTTTAACTATAAGGAAGCAAAAGCTTGCCTGGAAAATTCTCTGAACCCTTTCCTTCCTTCCCAGGTTAGCGGCAACAGAGCAGCAGACCACATGCAGTGGAAAGCAGCACCAGACTAGGCTGAGCCTGGCTAGGCTTACTTACCTGTAGACGACAGCAGGGATGCGCTTCCAGGACCTGAAGCTTGCAACACTCTCTAGTTCTTTGTCGGTGATCCAGGCAGGCACTATGAGCTCCTGTGGATAACTACCACATAGCCTAATGGGGAAGGTGAGAGGGAGGGAGTGGGGGAAGAAGACAGGGAGGGAGAAGAGGGAGAGACACTAGGTGAGCCAGTGTAAGGATGCTGATCAAGCTACCCAGAGCCAGTTAAAAGGCAATATGGAGCTTTAAGTGAGTCCTGGCCTACTAAGCAGAACTAGTCACCTTAGGTGTTTACTTATGTGTACCTCACCTGATAATATCTGGCACTGTTCCACTTTAGGCTACCTTTGGGAATTTGGTGATCCTAACATCTGAAATAGGGGGAGTCCACAGGCAATCAGTTACTTCACTATAACATTGTCTTGTAACAAACATACAAGTCATTTCTTAACTATAGAAAGTGCACAGTCCAACTACAGAAGTAAAAGTCTGTCAACCTCTACCAGACCCCCTCACTCTTTCAGGCTTCTGTCAAAGGGAAACGTGTGAAGAAAGACAAAAGTCTACAATTTCAAGTTTCCAGATACATTACAGAATTACTAACATATTCTCTGATGTGTCCTAATTATAGGTAACAGGTACAGGCATGGGTATGCAGAAGCAGTACCATAAGTCAGGACATTTGCATACATAATCACAGCCCCACTGACCCAAGTTAGTAATATGAGTAAGCTATTAATCATAATTTCATAAAACATACTTCAGAACTATATTCGGGGCGGGGGGGGGGATAAAGCTCTTTTCATTAGGGAGGAAGATAGTAGCTGCATGCTAGTCAGGCTGGTGCCCTAAAAAGCAGTTCTTTCCGACAGGTTTTTCACTTATAGGACATTGTCTCTCTATGGGTATCCCAATACTCCTTTTCAGCAGTGAAGGCAAGAAGACCTTTAATCCGAATCTTAAAATACACAAATTCTTCCTCCTCCTGTACCACCACTGCGCGGTCCTTGCCTATCTTATGCAGTGGGGGAAGAGGCAGAAAACACCAAGTAGCTTAGGATCATTCTGCACAAAATATCTACAACATGTTCTCAATTTCCAGAAGATTAAATATCAAGAATTTAAAAGCCACTGAACCAAGAGAATATCTACGGCCAACAGTAGCTCTATAAACTTAACAGCCATAAACTAAAAATAATCTGGGACACTATGACCATAGTTAATATGGTAACCACGAGTCTTGTTCTTTTGTCTTCTTTTATCTTGTTTAAAACTTAACAGTAAATTTAGCGCTCCTTCATAGTAGGAAGCACTTTTCAATGTCCTGCAGACTGGTTTTGAGGCAGAAATAGGGGATTCAAAGACAAAAATTAATTTTTAAAACCCATATTGAATAGCAATTTTGAAAACCAAATGGCTTTTGAACTCGTTTGAATTCAAGTTTATTCAACCTGTTTTTTATTCAACAAATTTAGCTTAACTCGGTTTTCTGACTTCATCCAATATTCTGATCATTCTATTCCTTGTCCTGTATTACACTACCTAGTAGTCACCTCTTAGCAAATATTGGCTGCTTACATGTAGATAAGCAGTTTCTAGCATAAGAAAGGAGGGCTGTGCATGAACAAAGCCTGTGGCAGCCTCAGGTTCTCTGAGCCCTTGCCTCCAGTCTCCACCTCTATTCTCTGCTTTGACTTTTAACTGAGAACAGGCAAAGGTGTGACAGGTCTACATGTAGCTCCAGTTCCTTTACAAGACCCTGGGTTCTTAATTCCTTGGCCAGTGTCCAAGTTAAGAGCTGCATAAACTATTCCAATGAAAAATGAAATGTTCTGATGGCCATCCACAAACAGACCAAGAAAATGGCTATTTGAGGCAGTCTGAAAGACAATGATTAATGCCTCCAACTGCTAGAAGGAATCTTAAGAGGAGAAAAATACTAATTTAAATCTCCTAAACAATTTTCTTTTGTTTCATAGAAATTTGGACCACCAAAATCATAATAGTTAGCTGCCCCCCCATACCAAAGTACTTATACCTTTTAAGGAAACAAAAAATGGGAAATATTTAATAGTGATTATATTAATATTTAATGATTAAATGGTCATAGCTATGAAGTTGGAAAGAACAGAATAGTACTTATACCTATTTCATAGAATCTGGAGTAAAATTAAGTCATAAAAACTAGCTTCTAAGTGTTGTATCACTGCTTGTGCAATCACTGATTCTATCTCCAATGTGATGTCAAGTGGTGACAAGACCAATGGAAACTGCCTGCCTACATGAGAACACAATACTGTCTAAGAAACGCACGCACCTGGAACAACAGAGATCTGGAGGGGGATGGAAAGGAAGGTTCCAGAATCCTACGAAATACCACTTTTCCACTCCAGTAACAGCAATGGGAACAGAAGGCTCAAGAAGTACTCTGAAGACCATGCAGTTAGATATAATAAATAAAATTCCACTGAAAAAATAGGTCTATGTCTAAGTTCAAATGTTCCGCCACATGAGAACTGGGGTTTCTGCAAAGGCACTGGCTGTGAAGCACAGTCCGTAGGCACCCATACAACTCACTTGTACTTCTCATTGATGTTGGAAATCCTCCAGGCATTGTTCATATCAAAACCCATTCGCTCCACTTCGTTTTTAAACCTTGACGTTACATGCTCCCCTAGGGGCCAAGGACAGCAGAAAGAAAGAAATGAATACTATTTTGCAAAACAGGTAGAATAAAAGCATAGCTACCCTGCTCAGTTATATAAATAACATGTACTTAGTTTTAGTTTAAAAAGTCCCTGTCAGGGTAAGACTATACAAAGGAATGAGGAAATTAATTTTTAATAGAAATATAGCTAATCCAATTTACATTAGTTTCAGGTCTATGACATAGTGATTCAACAATTACATATATTATGAAATGCTCACTTTAAGTGCAGGTACCATCTGTCACCATACAGAGTGACAGTTATTACAATATTATTACATTATAATATTGCTATTATAATTTTGTATCACAATATTATGGTAGTTATTACAATATTATTGACTATATTACAGTATTACAATAAAATATTACAATATTATTGTATTTACAATATTACTGACTATATTCCCTATGCTCTACCTTGTATCCTTGTGACATATTTCTTACTGGAAGTTTATACCTCTTAATCCCCTTCACCCATTTTGCCCATTGCCCCCCCCCCACTTTGGCAACCAGAAAACCAATGTGTTCTCTGTATTTATGAATCTGTATCTATTTTTTTGTTTGTCCGTTTTCAGATTCCACATATAAGTGAAATCATATGGTATTTGTCTGTCTTTGTCTTATTTCACTTGGCATAATAACCTCTAGGTCCCTCCATGTTGTCACGAATGGCAGATTTTCTTTTTTATGACTCAGTAATACTCCTGTATGCGTGTGTATGTACACACGTGCATATGCGGGTGCATATGCCCCATCTTCTTTATCCATTGATCTAATGATGAACACTTCCGTTGACTTAGGTTGTTCCCATTATTTTGGAATTTTGATCAAGAATTATGTTATCTGGGGCGCCTGGGCAGCTCAGTGGGTTAAGGTTCTGCCTTTCGCTCAGGTAATAATCTCAGGGTCCTGGGATGGAGCCCCACATCGGGCTCTCTGCTCAGCAGGGAGCCTGTTTCCCATTCTCTCTCTCTGCCTCCCTCTCTGCCTATTTCTGATTTGTCAGGTAATTAAATAAAACCTTTAAAAAAAAGAATTATGTTATCTCATTTAATCACTACTACCAACTCAGAGTGGTTATCGCCAAGTTCATTTTACAGAGGATAAAACTGAGACTGAGAGAGGTTATTATGGTAGGTTTGTCTGGTCCCAAAATCCAGTCCCTGTCACTGGCTACTCTCCCATTTCCACACTCACAATATACATGAAACATAAAATCAACAAGTTCACCAAGATAGTAATATAAATCTATAACTCCTCATCAGAAATCCTATGGGCCAGATTTCAAAACTTGAGTTTTCTAGAGTTTAAGATGGTAACAATAATATAGTATTAGATTAACGCTCTCAACAGGGTCTACTAATCAAAACATTAGTATTTCTACAGCGAAATGAATGGATAATTCCCACTAAATGGTAATAAGTAAAGCAGCAAATAGCTTCATGTCAGCTCAGACTGGGTCAAGCCACCAAGTAAGAAGACTCTTTTGATTTTCAGAGCCTTATAGATTACAGAATTGCAGATAAGAGATCATGAAACTGTAACTTCCAGTACCCAAGAATCTCAGGAAATGCCATACTACTAAGTAAAGTGCTAAGCATTTGTAAGAACATCCACCCAAACAAGTACAAACCTCCTAGATCTGCGCTAATGAAACTGGCTTTCTCTTCCTAAAGACAGCAAGCAACAAATGCGGAAGTGAACCAAACATAAAAGTCATTAAATCTGAAATAACTTTCTTCCTTGAAAACACACAGAGTCCTAGGGCAGTAAAACAAACAAACAGAAAACCATTAAGCAGTATCTCTATATGCAGTGTTACAGGTTGTAAAATAAATTCTGGTGGGGGCTGGGAGAAACTACAATAATAAAAGCACAAAGCAGATTAGACTGCTTTGGTGATCAAAGTATAAAGCTTTGCTTTCCCTGGGAAAGGAGCTTCAGAATAGGAAACAGCAATTACTTGAATGAAGGACAATTCTATAAAACTACTTCCCATTTAAATTGCTTTTCGTGAGCTTAAACTAGGTATCATATGTTTCCTGAAGGAGAGCTATAAAAAAATGAGGTGCAGAGATTTAGGAAGAAATAATCCGCTGAATGCATCCCATTGTGGAAAAGTTTTAGATGTGATGTCGGCTTTCCAAATAGGAAAAAAGCTATCTGAAATGGGGTGCCATCTGTCTATAAATTGCAAGGAACAGTGACCATCAAGAATATTGGAGAGTCCTTCACTTTTAATCCCCATCTAAAACAGTAAAACTACGACAATTTCCAAGTTCATTAATTAATGAGATTTTTCCCACCTGTGATATAGCTCCAAGTCTTTGCAAAAGGTAAAAGTAATTAATGACTGACATTAGTACCTCTAATCTGAGCACAAATACACAGCCCTAAAAGGACCCTCTAATTTTAAAATAGTAACTGGCAAATCACCACCACCATCACTGGCGATTTGCCAAAGAAAAGCTTAGAACCACTATCAAGAGTATAAAATTCTGAGCTACATACAAAGAAATACATACTGTGTATCAAGCATAAAACATGTTACTTCCTTGAGAACAAGGAGTTTAATTACTTTTGTATCCTCTAAAACTGTGAGTTCTAAGTTTGAAACTGACCATCACAACCACAAATTTGGGTTTTGACCATCAAAAACCCATAAGCCATCATAAGCCACCGCATGTTTATTTTTAAAAGCTTTACAAAACTACCCACCCTTACTATGTGGGATACATTTTGATATTTTCTATCCTAGGTATTTCATTTTGTATTTCATTCCTTAAAACTTTTGATTTTATGACCCACAAGTGGATCAAAACTTAGTCGGAAAAGCAGTGCTTTAAAAAAAAAAAAAAATCTAGCAACAGACCTTAAATACAGGAGTAATTCAACTGGCTTTTGCTAAATTGTGTTAGAAGCTCCCTTATGTTTTTTAGCTAGAAAACTGAATGCCAAGCACATCTATTTGCTGATTTCCCTTATGAATCTCCCTCTAAGAATTCTTTGGTTTCCACTGATTCAATATCAGATATACCATCATATCCTATTTTAAATATTACGGTTGTTAAGTTTGTTTGGCTTTGAATTTCCATTGCAACCCTCCTGTCTGCTCTCCCCCCACCCCCAAATGAGGATGTGTCCTTTTTTAATGTTTAGTATTTCTTGTACTACAAATGCAAACAGTCCAGCAATTCTTTAGTGAGAATGAAAACCTTTTTTTTAAAAGATTTTATTTATTTTTAAAAAGATTTTATTATTTATTTGACAGAGAGAGAGAGATCACAAGCAGGCAGAGAGGCAGGCAGAGAGAGAGGAGAAGCAGGCTCCCTGCTGAGCAGAGAGCCCGATGCGGGGCTCAATCCCAGGACCCTGGGATCATGACCCTAGCTGAAGGCAGAGGCCCTAGCCCACTGAGCCACCCAGGCGCCCTGAGAATGAAAAACTTTTTAAAGCAATGAGACCCTCTGTCATAACCAGTGTCAACAGGCAGTCTAAAAAAATCCCCCCCTCGAAAGTCTAGCTCCCTGGGTGATTCTGAGCATTCAAGCCCACAATTATACACAGCCTAAAGGTCTGAGATAGAAGAGCCAGTCCTCTATACAGGATGTGAGGAAGAAGAACTGCTTCAGAGTCAGAGAAGGTGAGAACCAGCCCTCCCAGATTTTCAAATACGGATGGAAGAATCATTCTGTTCTATGAACATACATTCCAGTACAGTCATCTAAATTTACACTTACTGGACTTTGTTCAAACTCCTAAGACTTGGCTTTTTACTAAACAGGTAGCTGCACAAGCTGTGAGACCCAGACTCCTATGCTGTTCATGGTTCAAGATGTGCTTAATGGGCATTTCACAGAAGAGAGGTCAGAGAGATGAGCCTGATGCTATTAAACTAATAACTGAATTGTCCAGTCATTTGTCAGGACCCCTGCTTAATGCTCAAGGACAGAAGGATCATCAAGAAGGCAGCTACAATGAAGAGAAGAAAACCAAGCACATGGGAGAGAAGCTTTAAGCTTTCAGTCCATTCCTTTTTTAGAGTGTCAAATGGATCTAAGAGTCAAGAGTTTCACAAAGACTTCTGCAAGCTTCACAGGTAAACTCCAATAGCAATACTGAGACTTCTTCCAAAGCAAATTAAGACTCAGAGCTTTGGCCACCATATGGCTGGCTTAACTATGACAGCTTCAACAGTCAGAAACTTAAGATTTATATGAATACAAGGCAATGATACAATTTTCCCATTTCGCTCCTTTCTGACACATTCTACTCTTAGCAGACTAGGCATAGAGAGACAGAATCCATAAAACCCTTTATTAACTGCTGAAAGACTAAACTAACTTCAACTCTTCAGAGTCTATGTGCTTATGATCTCATATGTTGAAGCAGATTACACAAAGGCATCACTTTGAAATATCTCAAGTGTTGTCTCACCCTAAAGATGACTTGTAAGAATGTGGTTGTCTGGTATGCTCCCACTTGGTGAGTAATGCTGTAGCCACCACCAACACTCAATAATAATGGGCAGAGACAAAAGAACCAGGTTGACTGGCTTTAAAAATGCCACCACAGTATTTTTTATTAGGAACAAGTTTTCCCTCTGTACTCCACAGTGAAAATATATAAAAAGGAAAAAGCCATACATATATAAACACACTCAAACCAAGTCACTGAAGTACAGTAAGATTCCATGTAAGTGGAAGCAGGTTAACTTCAGTGTGGATTTGTGATATTAGAAAGAAACAAAATACAACCTTTACTCAGATTAAGCTCCAACCAATCAGTTACAATGGCATCACCTTGTACATTCATAAAATCCAAAATGTTCTGACAAGCATGGCACATAGGAAGCACTCAGATATTTACTGAACTGAACTCTCCAGCAATATCAGATTTGATCTTCGGGATACCCAGATCAGCTTGGGTAGGAAGAACAGGAATGTCCCAGTCTGAAGAACAAAGGAAACTGAAGTACAAAGACCATTGATAAATGGCTTGCCCAGTATTCTTTTTCTTTTTTTTTAATTAAATGGTAAAGTAGGGTTTGAATTCAGGTTCCCTAGTTCTTAAATTAGTTCTTTACCCCCCAAATACCTCCACCCATCACAAACTAATGAAAAGACAGAACACTGTCGATATCTGTAAGCTCTGGCAGCCAAAGAATACCAAATATCATCAGGAAGAGAAGGATCTGGGCATAGAAGTCATCTCGGCTCAAGACACAGCCATCCATAATTAAAAGAGTGAAGTTCTGACCTGGCACACCTTAGGAATAGCCTAGGAGATGGCTCAAATCCAAAAGAAACTAATTTTATCAAGGAAATAAGGAGTCATCTAAAGAGATGAGGAATTTCCAGTCTGGTCATTGTGAAAAAACAGGTTAGGAGAAAAAGCAAGCCTTGCTGACTAACCACCTAAAACTAGGGGTATGCCCATTAGGGTTAGGACTCTTTAACAAGTGAAGTTCTTATAAAACACTATGCAGCTAGACAGAACTCCCTAACTTTATTATCCTAGGAAATGGTAGAGACCAAAAATTTAGTAAGACGCATTGACTAAAAATTCAGCAAAAATACATATAAGATTTGTGCATTTCACTATATGTAAATTTTACCTTGAAAAAAGAAAAATTTGAAAAGAGCCATAAACAACAACAACAAAATACGATGGCATCTCAATAGAGAAGGAAAATGAAAAAGATGCAATGGATGATGGAGTGAAGTCAGAGACAGTTCAAGCACATTTTCATAACCTTTTCCAGGATGGTGTGAACTCCTGTGGCTGACTCCGGATTTCACTGGCCTGACCAGGCTCATGGGTAGCTTGGATTCCTGAGGCTTTCCTTGTGGATCCACAGGGCAGTGCCTGTTTTTCATCTCTGCATGCACAACACCCCACACAGTCAACTCTCAATAGCAGGGAACTGGGGTTAAGTCCTAGCTCTGTCACTGACTGGCAGTGGGACCCGGCAGCAGGCTTTACCTCTGAGTTCCATTTCTGTGGCTCCCAAAACAGAGACTCAGTCTATCCTGACTGCTTGATGAGGTCATGAGGGTCAAACAAAAGTATATATCAAAGCATCTTTAAAAATAAGATGATGCTTACTGTTATATTTTAATTATGAACCAGAAATTCAACCAGTGAATGAGCCAGGAAACAAAGCGATACAAGCAAAGCTAGATTAGCCTCAAATGTTTAAAATGACCCAGGGCAGAACAGTTAAGATAAAAAATTCAGGATTAAAAACTGAGGTTTAAAGAAAAAAGTCCCTAGAGTAAGCTGAGTTGGAAGGAGCCTCACAACTTTTCATTGCTTAGAAATTCAAAAAAAAAGAAATTCAAGACTTTGCTTCCAGGCTGGACATAATAAAGATTGAGTGTTGGACCAGCAAAGTTCTATTTATGGCAGCCTAAAGTTTACAGAAAAATACACGTGGAGAAATAACATGAACTTGATCCAAGCCATTTCTGAAGGAAAAAGAGTGGAACAAAGATCTCCTGGGAAGGCAGGAGGCCTGGACTCCAGCATAAGCTCGGCTTCTCCATTTGTCTCGAGGAAAGTCACCTGGCCTCTCTAGACCTCTGTTTCATCACCTAGGAGATGAAAGGGGTAGGGATAGGAAATCTCTGACATGAAAATAAGAAGATAGGGAAAGGCCATTTTGTATGCCACTATTCTGCACGCTACCTTCACATACCTCTGGACCTTTATTCATGCAACTTGTGTTAACATTTTCCCCCTTTCTCTAATCAATGAACCCTTCCTTATTCTACCTTCAAAGCCTATTCAAAAGCTACCATGAATGTGAAGTCTTCCCAAATGTGTATATAACACTCATGGCACCCTCCATTAGGCTCCTTTCAACCCCCATTAAACCATACTCTAGTTGTTTTTAGGCCCAATAGACAGTGATACCAAATATAGTGTTCTTCCCTTCCCCTGAAAGGCAGGAAACATGTTCTATTAAGCTTAGAGGTGATGGGCACATGCTAGGTGCTCCATAAAATAACGAATGAATACACGTATGCTTAGAGTCCCATTTCATGTGAAGGGTACCTCAAACAGTAGTTCAAAAAAGACACTATTTGGGGTGCCTGGGTGGCTCAGTGGGTTAAAGCCTCTGCCTTCGGATCAGGTCATGATCCCAAGGTCCTGGGATCGAGCCCCGCATCAGGCTCTCTGCTTGGCAGGGAGCCTGCCTCCCCCTCTCTCTCTCTGCCTGCCTCTCTGCCTACTTGTGATTTCTATCAAATAAATAAATAAAATCTTTAAAAAAAAAAAAAAAAGACACTATTGGCACATTTTAGAAAGGTCTACCTGGTCTGCACAGGTCTCCATGTTGCTCTTTTTCACTGGCGTAGACCTCCATGCACCAAGCGTGGTATGCAAATGAGAATAGATCTTCTATTTTCGCAGGTGGTCGGATTGCATTGTTCAGTCTCTTGAGCCACTCTTGACACTGCTCAAAGGTTGAGAACTGACACCTTTGTAAAGCCAAACAAGTATGGATGTAATTAGCAGATGGCTGACAATGAAATCTGAGGGAAGCTACCATTTCAAGAGTGCCTACGTCCTGGTGCAGTGACAGCTACAATCAAAAGAGCATCAGAGGTGGCCATTCACACGTTCATCATTTATGATAAAAAGAGGTCCAATAAATTTTAGCCAATGGTACAAAATGTCAAAAAGAAAAAAAATGGACGTGTGAAAAACTTATTTTTAGGCCGATGAAACTGATTAATTTCTGAGATTGATTAATGGTAATTATTAAAGTAAAATGGTAGTGTTCTCTTTCATGAGTAAGGTTTCCTCCTATGTCTTCCACCAAAGCTTTAGAAAGGTTGTCAAGAAATAGGTTATAACAAAACAAAAAGAACTTCTCCTATCAGGCCAAGCTCAAAAATAAATCACAGCACAACTTTTGGCCAGTTTGATAATTTCAAAATATAACTCAGCAATTAGAATAAATCAGCAACTGTAGATCCAAAATAAAACCTGAAACTTTCAGCTGTGACCATGTAGAGAACCAAACAATTCTATTAGAAATCGTAATTTTAGGTATTGTTTGATTCAATTAGGGCAAAAAATACTTCACCTTTTCAAATGCAGACAGTGTTTAAACTGAGTAATTAATAAACAACCTTTTTAAATGTAAGTTGTAGTTAGTATCTATCAAAAGCAAGCCAATCTCAATGGCTAAAAGGCAACTTATATATCTTAAAACCAAGGAGGTCACTTAAACCTCTTCCTCATTCCAATCAATGTGGCTCATCAATATGCCAACACACAGTGTTTACTGGCACTCCAAAATCAAAGAGATAAGGGAATTCAGAACTTCTAGAGCTATTAAATTTAAAAACACATTTCAGGCATCATTTCGCAATCATTAAAGATTATATCAGATAAAAACCATAATGGATGTTAAATCAATGGAGAAACGACGAAAAGCAGGATATTTTCATTGTCTTAAAGTGCCTTCTATAGACAGTTTATTTGTTGTGAAGGAGAAAATGAAGAAATTACACAGAAAGCAGGTGACACCTCAACAAGAATGATCAAAATTAACATCACCAATAAGGGACAGATGGACACTGCTTGCCTCCAGACGTAATAGAGCACCCTGAGAAGGATACAACCTACACATATAGTACTGTAGCCAAGAATACAGAACCTCAATTTAATCATAAGGAAACACTGTATAGATATAAAATGAGAAACATACAATTGAAAGATTATATTCTTTAAAATGTGAATGTCATAAAAGAAAAAAAGGGAGTGAAAAATGTTTCAGAGTAAAGAAGGCTAGAGTGGCGCCTGGGCGGCTCGGTCAGTTAGGTGTCAGCTCAGGTCATGATCCCAGGGTCTGGGATGAGTCCCACATTGGGCTCCTTGCTCAGTGGGGAGCCTGCTTCTCCCTCTGCCTGCCGCTCCCCTGTTTGTGTGTGTGCGCTCTCTCTGACAAATGGATGAATAAAGTAAATAAATTATAAAATAAAATAAAATGGATGAATACATACTTTTTTAAAAAAACTAAGAAGGCTACAGAATCACAGCAACTAAATGCAATACCTGACTTTGCATGGATCCTATCCTGAATAAGGTGGGGGTGAGAAAAATGCTATAAAGGGCATTAATAGGTCAAATGACAAAATTGGAACAAGGGTAGTAGACTGGATAAAAGTATTATGAGTGTAAAGTTGTGAAGCTGATAATGATACCATGGTTATGTAAGAAAATATCCCTATTCTTAGGAAAGCACACCAAAGTATTTCAGGGTGAAAAGCCAGGATTACATAACTTACTTTCAAATAGTTGAGAAAAAGAATCACTCAAACACACACACACACACACACACCACCTGCAAACAATAAAGCAAATGGGGTAAAATGTTAACAATATTGGTGTTCTTCGTAATATTTTAACTGTTGCACTTTTTTTGGTAAATCTGAAATTATTTCCAAGTAAAAAACTTAAAAATCACTTTTCAAATAGGAAAGTAGCCTAAAGATGAAATATTTCAGGCACTAACTACTCAGAAAATATTCCTAACAAGGCTGACACTCAAAAGCTGTTTTTCTGTTACCAAACCACGAATCCATTCTTTTAATAATACATATTTTCCACACTAAAAAACAGCATAAACACATCACATACCTGATAACTTTGCAGTCTTTGCAAGTCAAATGAAGCTGAAATATATCTCGGCATTCAACACTTTCTATAAGCTGTAATGGAACCTGCAATTAAAAAAGATGAAGACCCCTTAGTCAAGAAGGCATTAATCCCTCAGTTTTCTCAGTGGGTTAAACAAGAAAGATCCAAAAGCTCTACAAGGGAAAGTAGCAAACAAAGCCGCAAATTTATCTGAATCAGTAGTATTCAAGTGATTTACTACTGAGTCAATTAGGGTTTCCCCTCCTTTCCCTCTAAATCAGTAGCCTCAAGTCATGTCTGAGCATGAAGACAAGGAATGAAACAACAGGGGAACAGGTCATCTCTCAAGTATCAAACTCACAATCTCTCCAGGTACTACTTTACACACTACAGCTAGCTGTGATTTGCAATGACAAAGCAGCTGAAGGGAACCAGAGTGGTAATCTGGTCTTGTTCACAGAGAAGAAGTGCAGATCAAGGTGACGGTAGGACTACACTTATTTGCCCCAAACAGCCAAGTGGACTTGTGGCTTTGTTTTAGCAAAGGAACATCCTGAAAAACACTGGAGATCTAAACTGCCCACAAGCCACACAGGAAAGATGTGGTTGCTTGTCAGACTCTATGCTCAGTAGAATAGACCCATCTAACATCTAGATGTTAGAATAAACATCAAAGAGGAGGGAGCAGGACACACAGTGGTCAAAGGTCCTAAAACTAGCTAGGTCTAATTTGCTTCAAAAGACCAGAAGATCCCTGTCTGCCAAGTGGGGCTTGATGTATGAACAAGCTGGAATGGTTCTCTCCCTGCCAATCCGGTGAGCAGACTCTACAGAACACAGAAGTAAGGACAATAGTGGAGAGGGCTGGGAGAAGGAAAGGGAGGCAGATAAGGAAAGCATCTTAATAGGTGACAAATCTTGAAGCTGATATGAGAATCCTCCCCCTCTTGGATCAATTCACCTTGATCTCGACCCTTGGTTTCAGAAACTAATTTCTAAAACTTCTCAAAAAAGCCTGGTAAAATAACTGTAGATACATTCACTCTTTAGAGAAGGGGTCTCTTATACTGTATCACGCCCAGGCAAAATGTAGCTCTGACAATTCCGTGCAGCATTCCAACAATTCATGTTTAGCAAAGGAAGAGACAGGCAGTCTCCAGCACAGAATCAAGAGAGTGCTGCTTGCACAAGGTGGCCATCATATTAGCTGAGCCAGTTTCAGAAACGGGCTTCCTGCAAACTCTGCCCCACCACGCAGTTGCCAGAGTCAGCAGAGAACTCTCAGAAAAATGATGTGAGAATCAAAAAGAAGCCCAGTGCTGGATGTCTGGGATAAGAAACAGAAACTGGGGTAGGGATTAACCAAGAGAAGCAAGCAAAATAATATATAGAAAATGGGAGTTTCTACCTCAGAACTCAGAAACTTCTTGCTTAGTTCTAAGTCTATAAACTAAAAATTCCCTCATAATAGGACTGGGAGTAAGTGAAGAAATCTTGTATTCTGAGAAAAAATGAACTCTGGCCCTCTGGGGTTTTTTTTGGTGTGTGTGTGTGTGTGTGTGTGTGTGTGTGTGTGTGTGTTTTAAGATTGATTGTTCGTTCTTTCTTTTTTTCTTTCTTTCTTTCTTTCTTTATTTATTTGACAAGACAGAGATCACAAGTAGGGAGAGAGGCAGGCAGAGACAGAGGAGGAAGCAGGCTCCCTGCTGAGCAAGAGCCCATGCAGGGGCTCAATCCCAGGACCCTGGGATCATGACCTGAGCTGAAGGCAGAGGCTTTAAGCCACTGAGCCACCCAGGTGCCCCTGGCCCTCTGTTTTTAAGTCCAGGTGCTGTGAGAAACTAGCTGATGCAGCTAAGAATTCTTTCAAGACCTGTACATCTCAGAAGGAAAAATACAATATACATCAATGGGTAGGGATAAGCTGTAAAGGAAGAACACAGATTAAAAAGATAGAGATAGGTGGCACCTGGGTGGCTCAGTCTGTTAAGCGGCTCAGGTCATGATCCTAGGGTCCCAGGATGGTGCCCCACGTCAGGCTCCCTGCTCAGGGGCAAGTCTGCTTCTCCCTCTCCCTAAGTTTGTGCGCACATATACACACTACCACTTTCTCTCTCCCAAATAAATAAATAAAATCTTTAAAAAAAAAAAAAAAAGATGGAGATTGGAAGAGGACACTGATTTGTCTGCAGGTCAGTCCTTTGGGTGCCCTTTGGATGCCCTGTAACAGACTCTCATATTGCATTTGCTTTGTTTTAATATAACCCCTTTCCCTTCTCCCTCCCTTCCCAAAAGTGGGCGCAAGAATGGCAATTAAGAAGCCTGAATTCTAATCTCAATTTCTAAAATTTTACCAACTAAGTCTACCTACTTCCTGACTTCCTTGGACCAATTTCCAACCTGCCTATATGTTTTCTGAACATCAAATGGTCACAGCATAGGAAGTCCCAGGCAGAGGGAACAGGAAGTGTCTGGAGTGGAGTGAGAGTAGCTTTACAAACCCACATGGAAAGGCTGCTCTCTCAGAAGTCACCTGCATCCCAGGTCCCCTTCAGTCACCTTCCTTATAACTATAAAATCTGAAAACCAACTAATGCTAATAACAGCTGCTGGAGGAAGTGAACGAGCCTGTGCTACTGTGCTATAAGGAAGAGAGAAGCTTTACATGCCCTACTGTTGGATCAGCCTGCGTCCAGACTTCCAGAATAATGAAACACCTTAGAGCATGCAAAAGATTTGCTACCCAAAATGCATTCGATATGCAAATTTTCACACATTTTAACATCACAAATTTAAGGAAGAGGCTAAAAATACCAGATGCTAGTATGCAGATACTACTAGCAAGTCACCAGAAACCACCATGTGTACTCAAGTCATAGATATGAAAAACAGACTTTAATGCTCATGCAGATTGTCACATGCAGGGAAGTTTAATATGCAGCAATTAAAAAAGGAGACATATAAGAGAGAAATACGTGATTTTATATACCAAATGAACAACTACCTTTTTTCTTCTCCTATCTACCCCAACGTTCCCTTCAATGTTCCCTCCACAGACTGCCTCCTCTTCCAAAAAGGCAGAACAGGCCTTTTCCTCTTACACGCCCAACCAAAACACACTAAGTTTCTCTACTTTAAGGCCTGCTCCATTGCTTTAGGTTTCTCAATTTTCCTCACACATCAAAAGGATCTCTTACCATTTCTGTAACCAGGAAAACCCCATATTCAACCCTATTAGCAAACAATTATAGATTGTCTTCAATCCATACCATTGAATCCAGGCCGTTTTATAGCCCAGGGAGGTTAAGCTTCTACACTATAAACTAGTGGCAAAGACAGGACCAGAATCCATGCACCTGGCCCAAGCTCCTTCCATTTTAATGGTGCACCTTTCCTTCTTCCTCTAAGATTGCCCCTCCTTGCTCTATGAGCTCTACTTTAATGTTTCTCTCAGAACTAAGTGGCCTCTCCACCAGGGACCTTCAAGAGGAAAATAGAATTTAAACCAGATTCCTTATGTACAGTTCTATCCATGGAAGAGTACGAAAAAATCTAAAGTCGCATACATTCAAATCCTCCCTAGCAAACTGATTCAGTGTTTTGTAGCAACTCATTTTCTTTTTGCTTCTTTCGCCTCTACCTTTTTCCTGCAAGGTAATTCTAACTTCCTTTACAGTGATTTTCCTCTTATAATCTCCACCAAACTCATGCTCAAACAATGCATCAAACACACTCAGTGCTGTTAATTCCTCAAAAGGCCAACAGTTACATCATTAGCATCAAAATTCATAAGAGCATCAATCCAAAAAAGCAGAAGAGCAGCAGTTAAAAAATTATAATAGACATGCACAGTATTAAAGATCCATAGTACTATCTCACTCCAGAGGGAATTTTACGTCATCATATCCTAGTATGTTTACTTTAATTCTTTCTCAGTTTGTGTGTGTGGACATGCACATGTGCAGTATTTTTAAGCACCAGAATTTAAAAGTGGGATAGGTCTATCTTTTAAAAACAATGCCCTTTTTATAGCCTGAATGGAGAGTACTAATTTTGTACATCCATTTGAATTAAAAATGGCAGGAATTGAGTAAAAATGAGTCTAAACCTAAAATCTGTAATAAGCTGTGAAGTATCTGGGTCCTAAATCTTATATAGAAACCAGTCAGAAGAAGACTGTCACCAGTTAAAGATCCAAACTCTACTGCTCACATTTTATATTTACAAGCTGCTCTTCTAGCACTGATTTAGAGACTTCTGCTGGCATATGAATACTGCAGCCAAGGTGCATGAAGGAAGGGTTGACAGTAATCTCCTTCTGATACTTGGGTAAAAAAGATTTTTGCTATACTACAGTTAGACAATAAAAGAATGTGAAAAAATGCTAAGGAAAATGTTTGCAGATGCTACACTTGCACATTTTTCCTAAAAAGCATTAACAGGCCAGCCTGGAAATAGAAGCTCTACTGTCTTTTTAAATACTAATGTTGATGTTACAAATTATTCCTAGTTGAAATTCACTTTACATGTTTTGAGGATCACAATTCCATCTGTTTATATACACAGTATGGGGCTTTTTCCTCACTCCACAAATTGTTCTCATCATAGTGTACCACTAGCACTTTGCACTTTGTCTAGTAAAATGGAAGGGACTCATGCAGAGAGGACAAATTCTGCTGTTTTGCAAGGTGAGATTCTGACAGTCAAAACCAACTTGTTCCAAAGCACAGGTGCAAAAACTACCTAGGATTCTCATGCTACTTACTGGGATTTCAGAAGCAGCAGATTGAGAGGCAGTCTATTGAATTACACAACAAAAATTGTTTTAAATTTTCATGAATTCACTTGAACACTTACTTGTTTATAAATGAGCTGAGCAAAGAAATATACCTGTACATATGCAAAAACACAGTTTTGGAAAAGCACAGAATGGGAGCAATTCATACCTTAAATGTTACAAATGAACTCTCCTACAGACGTTCTTTATTCTAGGACTTGGAAAACTGATACCTAGTGAATATATTTAAAGTAATGATGTTATGGTATCTAAATCTACAGGCATGTTTTATTCAATGTGCTGTAAAATTAAGAGAATATATGATATCAGGTAGCTATTTAAAACTTGATGGTAAGTCATTTTCTAAAGTGCTAAATATGTTGATTTAAAAGGCAAGGAAGGAAGGAGAGGGGAGTGGAGGGAGAAGGGGAGGGAAGAAGGGAGAGGGGAGAGGGGGGAGGGGAAAGGGAAAGGGAAAAGTAAAGGTGGGGCGACACCACCAACTCTCTGGTCTCCCCCCAGGACCTAGTGCAGGAACAGCCACTGTTTTGTGAAGTAGTAACCACAGGTTTAAGAACCTTAGCACTAACCATGATGTGAGTATCTGTATGGAGAAATCCCAGTCTCTCTTGATCTGAAATGTTTAAAGTTGCTGCAATGCCAAAATACTTTTGAACAACCATTTCTGAGTGCAAAGCCATTATCCTGGGACTTTTACATGACATGCAGATTCTATGCCTTAGAGGGTTATTATGCTGAGATAACACTTTTAGGTGAGGAAATGGGTCAAAAGTAAGAACAGTGTAAATTTTCTTAAACACTATACCTCAATCATAATGGGGAATCAACAATTACAGTAAACAGCCTACTAATCATATACTACTGTTAGAGATAATGACACAGTCCTGGTCACACAGAAATTTGTTTTTAAATGAGCTTTAAACCCAAAAGGGGTTTTAAAATGGTCTAATATCCATTTCAAACTCATATTAACTTCAATTCACTTAATATTTACTGAATACCACAGCACCAGGAAACATGCTAATTCTGAAGATACAAAGATGAAGAACCAAAAAATTATAACACATCTCGTAAGTGTTGTAAAGGCATGCCTGAGATACTGAAGAAGTCAGAGGCAAGGGTAACAAACTGTCAGGGAGGGAACAGAGAAAGGCTTCACAGAAGTTACCACCTAAACTGGGTTTTGACAGATGAAGAGAAATTCCCCAGGCAGGAAACAAGAGAGAGAATTCAAAGGTGTGAGGTGTGGCTGAATACTTTGAGGGTGGTGTTGCTAAAGGGGAGAAAGAGGATAAGAGAGAAACTGACAGAAAAGCTGACAGAGACCAAGGATCACACCACTTAGCCTGATACCATGCTAAGTAATTTCATCTTAGAAATACTGAAGAAACAATGGAGGCCTTAGACTGGTAAATGACATGATCAAATCGATGCTTTCTCTCCAACAGACCCTATTTCCAAATAAATCTAAAAATAGCCTCGGAAATACCTGGCTCTAAGGCAGTAAGTTGAGAAATAGGGGACAATATGGAAAAATACAATAACATGAAACTGTATCATCCCCTCATGCAATTTAATTACAATTTCATTAATTCCAATCAGATAAACAATTTAAACACAAGATTAAACTGGACAATTCTACTAATTATACTGTCCTTACTTTCACAGTGGCTGGGAAGCAAATTCTGGTTGCCAGGATTTTATAGGAGTTTTCATCCTGTTCCCTCCTATCATGACCACCCAATATCAAATGGACCCTTCTAAATACAGTGCTATATGGTATGAATGCACAGCATGCCTCTTTCCTTGATGAATCCTATGTGTATTTTTAGCTGATGGACAGTCAGAGCCCAGATCTACACGCCAGGAGAAATTCAGGCCAAAACAGCTCTTTGATATAAATGTTTAAATACAAAAAATAATACTACATAAATAATAAAAGCCAATTATTAAAAAAAAGGACAGCATTTCAACAAACAAAAGAATTTGACAAAGGAATTAGGTAACTTCTGGACCACTGAGTAAAAGGAACTTAAGTGACAGATTTCAAAGAACCCAAAATGAACCCCAAAACACACAATGTAAAGTCTGAATGAAAGGAGAGTCCTGAACTTTTATAAGAAGTCTTAATACATGTCTCAGGGCTCGAATCAAACTGCAGAAAGAAAGCCACAATACTAGCAAAGGAAAAAGGAAGAAGGCATTCATTTGGTGGAAGTATATGAACTTGCGTATCTTTGTGGTGAAGGCACATTCATTGAAAACTAACGATGGCAGTGCACTGAAGAACCAGTTCACTGAGAATACCCTCATAACTAAAAAGGGTAAATGTACTCTTGAGAACTGAGGGCCTCCCTTTTCTTCAGTAATACAGTCCATTATGCAAATAAACATTGTACTTAACATCCATGCTTATTCCACTAAGAAGCAATTAGCATTAACTTCATCCTATAATGAGAGTCTGCATGGAGTTCAAAGTACACCTCATCACTTGACATCAAGGTCCCAGAAATTATCTCAACTGAGGCAGCTGTTAAATACTAAAAATTGAAGAATAAAAGCCTATACAGCCTTTGTACCCTTATAAAGCTTAATGATACACCATTACCTAGTACAAATCGTTTGTCGTTACTAAAAAATGGACAATTCAGCTGACAACTACGTTTATCATTCTGAATCAAGAATAAGAGTTGCTTGTTAACCTAGTGTCCCCTGAGTGCTAAAGTGAGAGAGAGAAAAGCAGAGCACACAATGTTTTCATACCCAACTGTGTATAACACTTCTCTCTTTGAGCACATTAACAATTTTTTTGGTTTTTTTTTACTTCCTTTCTCCCTCTACTTTAGTGGGAAAACAGTTGATAATCACTTACATTAACAAGAGACTCCTTGAACTTGATGTGAAGTCTATAATTAGAAAGGGCAATGATGGCATCCTCAGCACGGCCCACATACTCTGTGCTTTCTCCATGAAGTTCGAGAAAAGGAACCTTCAAAATGGAAAAAGAAACCTTTCAGAGTTCTAAAGCAGTAAAGCAAAGTCTTCAAGTACAGGCTGGACAAATGGATGATTAAGACCAGTCACTCAAAAATAAATAAGGGACTTAAAAAGGATGATTTATATCCACATATCAAATATACCTGGTTATTCAAATTCCAGACTACTGAAGGAATGACAGAGAGATAATCCTCTCAAATAACGAATTCTCAAGAAATAAGTCTTTCTAAAAAGAGAAATTGTGGTGCACCTGGGTGGCTCACAGGGTTAAGCCTCTGCCTTCAGCTCAGGTAATGGTACCAGGGTCTTGGGATCAAGCCCCGAATTGGGCTCTCTGCTGGGTGGGGAGCCTGCTTCCCCCTCTCTCTCTGCCTGCCTCCCTGCCTACTTGTGATCTCTTTCTCTGTATCATAAATAAATAAATAAATAAATAAATCTATCTTTAAATAATAAATAAATAAATCTTTTTTAAAAATAAATAAATAAAATAAAAAGAGATTGTTTTCCAGGTTGCATTTCTACTATGAGTATAGTTTAGGGAAAAACAAAATTATACAGTGCGTTACTTCAATCCATTAGCTCTGCTACTGTTACTATGAGGTTAAATACTTATTTCATAATCAAAGTGGCCTGTAATTACCTGAAGATTCTCATCCTCCCGGATCAGCTGCTTCCTGGGAAAAATCTGATTGGCCTGGATGCACTCAAGGCTGTGCCGAGTCTCTTCATCCTGGAAAAACCCAAAACCTTTAAATAATTTCAAAGCTTTCAGTCATCCATATTTTATTTTTCTGCCATGTCTAGTAGTATGATCATAATTCAGAGTCCAGTTACCAAGGTGAACAGGAAGAAAGCCCAAGGAAAAAATATTCATCCCCAAAGTGTTCCACACAATATATAAGGTGTCTCTAGTGAGAAAGTACATGGATGAAAAAAAAAGTTTTGAGCGTAAAGAACATTTTTACTAAGCACAAATAAATTATAACACATTACTTGTAAGAGAAACCAAGACAGTTTTTTCTCTTTGTTATAACCTTAAATTCTTATTTTTGAACGCTATATCCTGAATTACTGAAGAATTAAATGATGTGATATCTACAATTTGCTTCAAAATAATTGGAGGGAGAAGGGTAGAAAGGAAGTGAGTGGGAAACAAATGAAATAGGATTATCCATGAGGGATAACTGAGAAAACTGGGAAAAGCAGGGGTTCACTAAACCACTGTGTCTACTTTGGTTAGATGTGAGATTTCCACAACGGAAAGGTTTCTTTAAAAATTTAAGTTTAGGAACTGAATCCCTCAAAAACTGAAAACATGTGAACCACTGTCCCTAGTTTAATCTGCCTTAATTTATGAAACATTTCTATTACGGCAATTTAAAAAAAAGAACCACTAAATTCTCATCTAAATAGCACTTGAACTAATTATAATGTGTATTTAAAAAGTAGTTTTTTAGGGACGCCTGGGTGGCTCAGTTGGTTGGACGACTGCCTTCAGCTCAGGGCATGATCCTGGAGTTCCAGGATCGAGTCCCGCATCGGGCTCCCGGCTCCGCGGGGACTCTGCTTCTCTCTCTGACCATCTCCTCACTCATGCTCTCTCTCACTGTCTCTCTCTCAAATGAATAAATAAAATCTTTAAAAATAAATAAATAAAAAATAAAAAATAAAAAGTAGTTTTTTATATTATGAACTTTTATGGTTTAGGAAGACAGGAGTAAAGCAATCTACTGGAAAGCCTAACTGTAAATTATTATAGAATCTGTTTTATACAGCACATTTTACAAGAGCAAAAGCCTATCGTGTCCTCTGACAGCACTAAGAATTATAACCAATTAGAGGACAGTTCTACCTACATGTTCTGCTTAACACAATTCCAGCAATTCTTTAAATTTCCTCAAAGGAAAAAATAAATCCTACCTATAAATAACATGCTACCTATAAATCCTAACTATAAACCCACTTATGGTTTTACCTAATAGCAATCTTAATCATAACACAGTAACACTACTAATGTGGCTCTCAAAGTGAGATCCACAGATTCTGGGATCTTTCAGGAGCTCTATGTGGTCAGGAAACACTTCCACATTAGTATTGAGACATTATCTGCCCTTTTTCACATTGACCTTTGTACTAACAGTACAAAAAGAATTTAACAGGTAAAACTACTGACACCTTAGTATAAGCAATGACACCAATTTCACTTCAGATGTCCTTGATAAAGCAGAGGAAAAATGATAAAATTTTATTTAATCTTGACCCTTTGGTAAGTCTTTTTTTATATAGGAAATAACATGAAACATTTCTGCTACATACTGACATGTTATGGTTGTCTCAAGGTAAAGCATCCGTGCAATGATTGTTGTTTTTTTGTTTTTTAAAAGATTTTATTTGACAGTGAGACAAGCGAGAGAGGGAGCACAAGCAGGGGGAGTGGGAGAAGGGGAAGCAGGCTCCCCACCTAGCAGGGAGCCCAACGTGGGGCTCAGATCCCAAGACCCTGGGATCATGACCTGAGCCTAAGGCCAACACTTAATGGCTGAGCCACCCAGGTGCCCCTGTGCAACTGTTTTAGTTACCAGCTAAACTAACCAGTTCTCCCCCCCCCCATTAAATACCATTTTAATTGAAAGAACATCTGACAAACTATAATTCAGACTTAAACTGGCAGGGTTTTTTCCTACAAATGACATCATTAATTACTAATGATAAAGCTTTTATGTGAAAACTTGAATCTTGGAAAACCCATCATCTGCTAAAATGAAGAGCTCCACAGATTGCCAATACTTAAGCAGACTTTTCTGACAAAATCAGAGCCAATACTACCAAATGTGATTTTTATTTTCATTTTTTTTTTAAGATTTCATTTATTTATTTGTCAGAGAAAGAAGCAGCACACACGTGCATAAGCAGGGGGAAGCACAGGCAGAGGGAGAAGCAGGCTCCTGCTGAGCAAGGAGCCCAACTCAGGACCCAAGCTGAAGGCAGATGCTTAACCGACTAAGCCACCCAGGTACCTCTAAGTGTGATTTTTGAAAGAAATTACAGGTGTGCCTGGGTGGGTCAGTCAGTTAAGCATCCAACTCTCAATCTCAGCTCAGGTCTCGATCTCGATCTTGGGATGGTGAGTTCAAAGTCCTATATTCAGTTCCATGCTGGGTGTTGAAGCCTACTTAAGAAAATAAAAAGTAGGGGCACCTGGGTGGCTTAAAGGGTTAAGCCTCTGCCTTCAGCTCAGGTCATGGTCTCAGGGTCCTGGGATTGAGCCCCGCACTGGGTGCTCTGCTCAGTGGGGAGCCTGCTTCCCCCTCTCTCTCTCTGCCTACTTGTGATCTCTCTCTCTGTGTCAAATAAAATCTTCAGAAAAAAATAAAATAAAAGAAATAATAAAAGAAATTATAAAGAGAAATAGGTCTATATTTGAAAGATCAACATTATTCAATTAACAATTATTTTCAAAATGACAAATGCATAAATAATGTTACAAAATCATGCACAGATAAAAAAGATCCATTTAAAGTGCAAGACAGACCAATGGCTTTAAATGTAATAGAATATATTGGGGCACCTGGGTCGTGCAGTCAGTTAAGTGTCCAACTCTTCATTTCAACTCAGGTCATGATCTCAGGGTCGTGAGATTGAGTCCCGTGTCCAGCTCCATACTCAGTGCAGAGCCCACTTAGGATTCTCTCTCCCTCTCCCATTGCCCCTCCCCCATCTAAAATAAATAAATCTTTTAAAAAATGTAATAGAATGTAGTAAGTTCACTGATACGGTTTCAGATTCCACAATGCAACTAACCTTTAAAGAAATATTACTTGTCCCCCCCCCAAAAAAGGAACATATTTTCCTTGCTTTGGTATAACAGAAGAATACACACAATATTCTCCAGATGGAAAAACTATTAAAATATTCTTCAAACTATATATCCATGTGAGGCCAGATTTACTTCATATTTTTCAACATTTTTTTCAACAACAAATTTTAACAAATTAAATGCAAAAGTAGACATGAGGATCTATCATCTATTAAGCAAAACATTAAAGAGATTTGTAAAAATTTTTAAATAATGCCACTGTTTACACTATTTCTGGATGAGGAAAAAGTTATTTTTCATCAAAAATGTTATTTATGTTAACATTTAGTTGGTTGTTACTTTTTTTTTTTTTAAGATTTTAAGTAATCTCTACACCCAACATGGGGCTCAAACTCACAACACCAAGATCAAGAGTTGTGTGCTCTACCATATAAGCCAGCCAGGCACCCCAGTTACTATTGTTTTTAAATGAACAAAAGAACATTTTAAAGACTTCTCAGGTATAATTCCTAATAAAGTATAGACAGACATACCCTATGTAAACCAAATCTCTCTGGGGTCCTCAATAATTCAGCAATGTAAGAAGGGATCCTCAAAGCAGAGTTGGGAAAACTATAGCTCTATCTACTATACTGCAACTCAAAATACCATTCAAGTGGGCTCATTTGAAGTCACATATCCTCTAAAACCATTCTTCCAGCACTAATCTGTGACCAGAAGAGCCATACAGAAATTGAGTAACAATCCCTCACCCATCTACCACCATAAAAGCAGTCTCTTGGCTACTAGCTGACTGGGCCCATTCCATCCGCCCACTTTATTTTGAGGCAGAAGAATCTTACCTTTTAAAGGTTTGATATTTAAAATATAGAAAGACATTACTGACTTCAAGTTCTAAAAATAAAACTGTAACAGCTTTATAAATGGCTAATGAAATCCAAAAAAAATTTACGAAACATCAGTCATCATTAAATAATTATAAAAGTTAAAGTATAAAAAATTCAATTTCTCATAGAAAAAAAAATAGTTTAATCAATGCAGTATATTTCAGTAAGGTTAATATCGTGTGGCTTAGAGCCTCTAAAAATATAATTACTTGGGGTGTACAAAGGTTTGTACAAAGGTTTGTAAAAAGGCTCCACTCCCATAAACACCAAAATAACTTGTTAGATAAAGAAGAAATCTGTGTCAGTCTGTTCCATTTTTATCCCTCTTCAGTCATTTCCTCCGAGGTCAATGACTGAGTGAAGGAATAACAAGGGATACAGTTATATTTGGAAGGAACTCATTTTTCTGTAAGTGTTATCTTTTTTTCTTTTAACCAATTCTATTTCCATTATTAAGAGGTAGCTCCTGACCCAAAGATCACTGAGTATTTACACTTAAAACCAAGAAAAGATAAGAGGAATCTTGATTTTAGGAAGATTTTTCTCACAAAAAGCAACAGGGGAAAGATAGGAAACACTATGAGGGGGAATGCTTTTAAAAATTACTACATAAAAGGGGCACCTGGGTGTCTAAGTCAGTTAAGCATTGGATTCTTGATTTTGCTCAGGTTGTGATCTGGGGGTTGTGAGCTCGAGCCCTGTGTGAGGCTCTGTGCTCACTAAGGAGTCTGCTCACCTTCTCCATCTGCCCCTCCCCCAGCTCTAATAATCTTTAAAAAATTATTACATAGGAGCACCTTGGTGGCTCAGTCATTCAGCGTCTGCCTTCAGCTTAGGTCATGATCCCGGGATACTGGGATCAAGCCTGGAATCGGGTTTCCTGCTTGTCAGGGAAGCCCGCTTCTCTCTCTCCCACTCTCCCTGCTTGTGTTCCCTCTCTTGTGGTCTCTCTCTCTGCCAAATAAACAAACAAATAAATAATTTTTAAAAAATTATTACATAAAAGTAAACATGCCTCCTTGGCATCACATTAACTTTTTAACTCACACAAACATATAGGCCTAAACTTTTATTCTCTTCAAGATCACTTTACAGAGTCACTCATTTCTTCAAGTGATTACTGGACCTAGTTTTTTACTGACCTCGGAATAGCACAGAATTAAAATAATGTAGCAAGCTAAAAACAAAACCAAAAATGAGAAGCCATTACAAATCTACAAATCTATTCTTGCTGGCACATTCACTTGGGTGCTAATCTATGCTAATGTATATAACCAAAGTAGCCAGTGAAAACTGAAAATGGAATGAATGGTATTGAACATAACAGAGAATTAAGTCAGCAAGGCAAGATCATGAAGTAATATTTTCTTCACAGTCAAAATAAGTGTGCTTTTTAAGACTATCTCAATTCACATTACCTATAAGGCTTTACAGCTGATTTCCCCCTTATACATAAATATGCATTTAATCACTAAGGACTTAATTAACATTAGGATAAGCTACTGACATCCTAGAATGGTATTTCATAACATAAGTTAAATTAACTGCCTAATTTTTTTTTTTTTTTTTAAAGATTTTATTTATTTATTTGACAGAGATCACAAGTAGATGGAGAGGCAGGCAGAGAGAGAGAGAGAAAGAGAGAGAGAAGCAGGCTCCCTGCCGAGCAGAGAGCCCGATGCGGGACTCGATCCCAAGACCCCGAGATCATGACCTGAGCCGAAGGCAGCGGCTTAACCCACTGAGCCACCCAGGCGCCCTTAACTGCCTAATTTATTAGTTTCTAAATTTCATGGGTAAAAATGGGTAAAAAATGTCAAATTTTAACATACCTATTCTGATAGAATAAGGAGCTGGAAGGAGACAAAAGGGAAGGAAGAAACAGACTAGCAAGTCTTGGCCTCCTAAGAGGCTTGCAAAATTTCTCCCAGGCTACAAGTAGTAATTTTTTAGTACTAGGGAACATATATTCCATACGGTCAATTTCCTAGTATTGCTGAGGGACACCAGGTATTGTGCAATCTGGCAATTCTTAGTCTCTACCAGTTCCATAAAATCAGTGGGACTACCTACAAAATCTTGAAAAGGGATTAGTCACCACAGTTCCAAGCTAGTTTCTGCTACTGGTTTATGTAGGTAAGAGCGGTAATCCATGCATTAGAGGGGAAATCAACATTACAAAGAAATATTTAAAGAATACAAGAATCAGAGACTGCCAACAAGTCAAAATACCCATTAACTAAATTCACATACAAAATTCCAGGCTTTAAAAAAAGAAAAGAAAAGAAACTACTGCTGAGAGTAAAATATATGTAGGAATACTGGACAAAATGTAAAAATGAAAGTAATTATCAGTCTCATTGTCAATCTCAGTCATTATTCTTAAGACTGGCATTGAAGGCCATCAAAAATACAAATTTCTCTTGGTACAATGCTTGGGATTTGTTTCAAAATAATCCAAAATAATCCAAGAGTTGACAGTGAAGGAGTCAGAAGAAACAAGTATGGCCATGAATTAATACTTACTGCAGTGGATTAATGTATATGATCGTTCACTGTCTCTCTGTACAAGCTTGAGATTTTCCATAAAACATGAAAACATATTCTCCTAATGCTTAACATATGAAAAAAGGCTTCAAACTCAATCTTTATAAGCTTAAAAGAGAGAAGATGTTACTCAAATTAGTACAGAGGTATACATTTTAAAAAAGAAAATTTGGGGGGCACCTGGGTGGCTCAGTGGGTTAAAGCCTCTGCCTTCAGCTCAGGTCATGATCTCAGGGTCCTGGGATAGAGCCCCACATCAGGCTCTCTGCTCAGCAGGGAGCCTGCTTCCCCCCCTCTCTCTGCTGCTCTGCCTACTTGTGATCTCTCCCTCTGTCAAATAAATAAATAAAATCTTTAAAAAAAAAAAAAGAAAGAAAGAAAGAAAGTAAGAAAATTTGGGATGCCTGGTTGGCTCAGTGGGTTAAGTGTCTGCCTTTGGCTCAGGTCATGATCCCAGATCCTGGGATCAAGTCCCACATCTGGCTCCTTGCTCGGCAAGGAGCCTGCTTCTCCTTCTCCCTCTGCCTGCTGCTCCCCATGCTTGTGCTGTCAAATAAATAAATAAAATCTTAAAAAAAAAAAAATTCAGCACCCCTGAATGTACTACACAAAAAATAAGGATTAAACGTATACAACTAAAATGCTGAAACAACAGAATACATCAATTAATTAGGATATTAATTAAATCAATGGTTCAACAACTTGCAAAATGTTATACAGCTAGTAAAATGAACATCAGGTATCCAATGAATCAACACGGGGAAATGTTTAATTCCTTTAGTGAAATAAGCAAAACAGAAATTTAATTATGCTTTAATTCCAAATACATAAAAAAATATACATGAGGACATGAACTAGGTAGAAAGGACTACAACCATGGGTTTTGGTGGTAGAATTATCAGAGTATTTGTAAAAATTTGTTATAATGTTACTTTATGAGAAATTTTTAAAAAAATAGACACATGGCCATACTGTTCCCCGAATACAGCACATAAAAGCTTCTCCAGAGCACACCAGAAACCCCAGCAGCACCAGTACGAGAACCACACTCTTCCTAGCTACATGGTCTACAATAAAGGACAAACCTTCAGTACAGAACAGAGCTGCTTTTATTTTTTTTTTTTAAAGATTTTATTTTTTTTTTTAATTTGACAGAGAGAGAGAGATCACAAGTAGGCAGAGAGGCAGGCAGAGACAGAGGGGGAAGCAGGCTCCCCACCGAGCAGAAAGCCCCATGCGGGACTGACTCGACCCCAGGACCCCGAGATCACAACCCGAGCCGAAGGCAGAGGCTCAACCCACCGAGCCACCCAGGCGCCCCCAGAGCTGCTTTTATAAGGCTGTCATTTGTTATTCATTAGCATTGGCATACATACCACATAAATATTAGGCAAACATTTTTTCAATTCATTAAACACTCTGTGGGAAAACCAATAAAATAAAATGTAGTCTAGAGAAATAATATTAAAGGTTCATCAGTGCCTGAATATATCAAAAAGTTATTACACCCACAAACTAAAAAAACTGGCCCAGCTTCAAAATGAAAGCAGTTACCTTTCTCCTTCTTTTAGTATGACATTTTTGCACAACTAGTTTTTCTGTTGTGTTTTAGTTTGTTTTTAATTTTAAAAAGCATTCTCAACCCATGTCCCTAATGAAGCTTGAAATTAACATGGCCTTTTCAATTCCTTCTTTGTGTTACCAGCATGAAACAGTCTCAATCTAAGAAACATAACAAGGTAGAAGCAGGACAATATTACGGAGCACCATTTCTTTTTTAAGCCTTGAAGCACTGTTTACATATGCTCAGGACTGATAGAAATGTGGCTGGCTCATTGCTGCATCTTCTCTGCTTAGACGGAGCACTAAATGGCCCACAAGTCACTGAAATGGCCATTATATGCTCTATAGTCAAAGATGCAGGTAAGGGGTGTGGAAATCTGCTTCACCTTCATTGGGATAAAAATACTATCTTAAATAGAAAGAGGAAGGTAGGGATATACTGCTATCCAGAAAGGTGAATTCATAAAGAATATGTGTATGACCGTATCATAATTCTTCTATAGACATACCACACACACACACACACAGTTTTCACTACATCTGCTTCCTAGAAAAGGTAAGAAACCTAGAATCCAAGAACCATGAATTTTAGTCTTAATTCCACTTATTACCTGACTGAAAAGTAACATACATTATCTAATTCACAGGATTAAACAGAAATAAACTATTCTCAGGGGCGCCTGAGTGGCTCAGTCATTAAGTGTCTGCCTTAGGCTCAGGTCATGATCCCAGGGTTCTGGGATCAAGCCCCGCATCGGGCTCTCTACTCGGTGTAAGGCCTGCTTCTCCCTTTCCCACTCCCCCTGCTGGTGTTTCCTCTCTCACTGTATCTCTGTCAAATGAATAAGTAAAATCTTAAAAAAAAAAGAAAAAGAAAAAAAAAGGAAAGAAAGAAAAACTATTCTAAAACACTAAAATGCCCCATTATTACTGAATAAACAACAAAAGAAAGGTAACAAGAAGAGAGTTCAGGAAAAGAAAAGTGATTTAAAAAATAAAAATGTATGGACCTATTAGTGTTCCCTTAATTTCAGGATAGAGTTCAATTCCAATTTTCCTGTTATTTCTTTTTACTTACCATGACAGGAGGCCCAGATTAGGAGGAGAAATCCCCTTCCTTTCTTCAGTGTCTGGCAAGAATTTCCTTTACACGTGGATCTTTAAAAAGGAAAAAAAGGGGGGGAGGGAAGGACAAAATTGGCAATCTTCCCCTACTTGGCCATATTTTAAAGAACCACACATACATGGATCTGCAGACCTGACCAGAGTCACCCAAGAACAAGTTAAATATCACCCAGCCAATTCCCACTAGTTAAATCCAAACTCCATAATGCCTTTGTGAAAATCCTCATGGTCCTAACCCATTTGAGCAAAAATGCAGCAAAGACTCATGTTTCTAACGTTGATAGTAGTATGAAAAATGTTATAAACTTTGACTGCAATAACCCTAACCCTACTTAAAAAACTTAAAAAATAACCCTAACCCTAACCAACCTGCAAATGCAAAAACAATATTCTTGTAATACAATCGTTTAAAGATTTTATTTATTTGACAGAGAGAGAGAGAACACAACTAAGCAGAGGGGCAGGCAGAGGGAGAGAGAGAAGCAGGCTCTCCACCAACCCGGGAACCCAATGTGGAACCCGATCCCAGGACCCTGGAGTCATGACCCATGCTGAAGGCAGCCGCCGAGCCCAGGCGCCCCTATTCTTCTAATATTATAGGATGTTTCTGTGCTGATCTATAAATTCAAAATGGATCTCCCTATCTGTGAGGACCAAACTGGCTTAGTAAGCAAAATATGAAAAAACTGCCTTATTGCCCCAATATTCTATGTTCATCTGAAAGTCACACAATAAAAAGGACTGAAATACTGATACATGATAATATGTGAACGAACTGTGAGAATATTATACTAAGTGAAAAAAGCCAGGCAAAAAAAAACCCATTATTAAATACCATTTATATGAAATGTCCAGAACAGGTAAATCCATAAAGACAGAAAGCAGATAAGTGGTTGTCAGGGATTAGGCTGAAGAAGGTATAGGGAGTAACTGCTCATGGATACAAGGCATCTTTGTGGGGTAATAAAAATGTTCCAGAATTAGATAATAGTAGTGTTTAGCACAACATTATATACATTCTAAAAATCCCTCAACTCTAAAAGGTAAGTTTCACATGATGTGACTTATAGCTCAATTAAAAAAAAAATGTAGTTAGGGGTGCCTGGCTGTCAGTGGAGTGTGCAACTCTCTCTCAGGGTTGTGGGTTCGAGCCCCACACTGGGTGTAGAGTTTACTTAAAAATAAAATCTTAAGGGGCACCTGGGTGGCTCAGGGGGTTAAAGCCTCTGCCTTCAGCTCAGGTCATGGTCCCAGGGTCCATAGGGCTCTCTGCTCAGCGGGGAGCCTGCTTCCTCCTCTCTCTCTGCCTGCCTCTCTGCCTGCTTGTGATCTCTCTCTGTCTAATAAATAAAATCTTAAAAAAAAATAAAAAGTTATGGAGCCAGTCCAGCAGAAATAAACATTCTAGGCATCTACAGTATGGTCTCTAAAGACTAATTCCCATGGCAACTTAAAAAGTTGTCAATGTTTGGGACGCCTGGGTGGCTCAGTTGGTTAAGCGGCTGCCTTCAGCTCAGGTCATGATCCCAGCGTCCTGGGATCGAGTCCCACATCGGGCTCCTTGCTCAGCCTCTGCCTCTGCCTGCCATTCTATCTGCCTGTGCTCACTCTTGCCCTCTCTGACAAATAAATAAAATCTTTAAAAAAAAAAAAAAAGTGTCAATGTTCTGTAATTTAAAAGGTTAAATTAAATATATACAAAAGCATTATTTGTATTAATTCTGAAGCATATTTGTACATGCACAGAAAAATGATACATGAATTTTTTTCAATGGCTATCCCTCTAAGAAAGAGAAGTGGGAGTGGGGACTTTTAGTTTTTATACTTTTAGAATTTACATTAGTAATTAGGAAAATAAACTTTTACAAAGAAGTTTTTTTAAAAAGAAACTCAGAATAACACTGCATAAAAGGTTTTTCATTTAATCTAAGGCAAAGTGTAAAGATAATGACCTCAATCAAAAATCAAAGAAATGAAGGGGCACCTGGGTGGCTCAGTTGGTTAAGCATTGTGCCATATTACTAACTCTATGACCTTGAAAGCAAGACATACTAACCGCTCTGAGCCTCTGTTTCTTCATCTATAAATAAAAATTAATAACTGCATGAAAGACGTGAGGATCAAAGGATAATGCATATGGTGTGCTTAATATAATTACTAACATACAGAAATAAGCACCTTTTAAATCATTAAGATATTCCATTACATACAAAGAACTTGGATAGGATAGTACCCACCACTGTCCTGTTTTTTTAAATACACACACTCACGTGTGTGTGTGCATACACAGTTACTTATTTTTGAACCATTCTTTTTAAAGACTTTATTTATTTGACAGAGAGAGAGAGAGAGACAGAGAGCACAAGTGGAGAGAGGGACAGAGGGGGAGGGAGAAAGAGATTCCCTACTGAGCAGGGAGCCTGGCGCGGGGCTCAATCCCAGGACCCTGAAGTCACGACCTGAGCTGAAGGCAGACACTTAACCAACTGAGCCACCTAGGCGCCCCTATTTCGGAACCATTTAATAGAGAGCTGTGGTGGTGCTTGGTGGTGCAGTCAGTTAAGCATCTGGCTCTTGGTTTCAGAGCCACGTCGGGCTCCACACACAACACAGATTGTGCTTAAGACCCTCTCTCCCTCTGCCCCTCCCACCCTTCTCTCTCTCTTGCTCTAGAATAAATCAATTTTTTTCAAAAAATGACAACTGTGGGTGCCTGGGTGGCTCAGTTGTTTGGGCGGCTGCCTTCAGCTTGGGTCATGATCCTGGAGTCCCAGGATCGAGTCCCACATCAGGCCGCCTGTTCAGTGGGAAGTCTGCTTCTCCTGCTGACCTCTCTCTTCTCATGTTCTCTCTCTTTCATTGTCTCTCTCTACCTCTCAAATAAATATTTTTTTTAAATGACAGCTGTATAAACCATGCCTCTGTACTCCTTATTACTTTAGTATATACTTCCTAAGAACAAAAATAATCTTAAATAATCACAGTATTAGTTTTAAAATTTAGAAAGTTTAACACTGATTTAGTACATTAATCTACCTTCTATATTACAATCTGCTCAACTTAACCAATTTCATACCTCATATTAATTTTTTCCCTCAACAGAGGATCCAGTCTAGGACCACATACTGAATCTAGTTGTCCTATCTCGGGTCTCTTTTAATCTGTGACCCATATTATATTAATTCAAATAATGTTTCCTGGAATCAAAATTAATTCAATCATCTCACATCTTTCCCTCCAAACCTAGACCATGTTTCTTAAGAATGTAATATTTTTTAAAACGTAACACTTTAAGAGTGCCTGGAATAGCTCAGTTGCTTGGGCATCTGCCTTCAGCTTGGGTTGTGATCCCAGGGTCCTGAGATCCAGCCTCGAGTAGGGCTCCCTGCTCTGCAGGAAGCCTGCTTCTCCCTCTGCCCCACCCCGCCACCGCCTCTGTCTCTCATGAATAAATAAATTTTTAAAATCTTGAAAAAAAAATACTTTAATTCATTGTTTGCAAATACAGGTACTAGATGCTTTATCAAGTCAAATAATGATTCTAAAAATAAAAATCAATAAACACTTACATTATTATGGCAATGTAAAAATTAAACCTGCAGAGCCAAGTAATATATTAGGATTACACTTCCTTCTTTAAAGGTCTAATACAGACCCACTGGGCCAAATGAAAGATAAGATTCTTATTCCAAGCATCAAAGTCAAAAGATTGCTCTTTTCTTAATATATGCATGAGAATTTGACATCTAGGATCTGCAGGCTTCTCTGGGCTCTATCATCTGTACCACCCATAGATGCAACTTCCGAGGAATCTTAACAAAAGTAAAATATCATTTCATCTTCCTCGTGAACATGGTATCTCATCTTTCAGGCACCTGGAAAGGAGAAATTACCCAATTTCTTTCTCAATAACTAAAACTTACACTCACAAACAGTAACTCAACTGCAACTCAGACTATAAGGTCACAGATTATATGTATCATATAAACCCTTCATTATACAGAAAGAATGAAAAAAAAATAGTACCCCGAATCAACAAGATTATAACTAATCCCTACTAAATTAGATTAAAAATTAGATTATAATTTCCTAAATTAAACAGATGGCACAAAATTTATTCTCCTTTATTCTTATCAAACACACACTCACCCCCACCAAAAACAAAAATCTTACTTAAAATCAAATTATAATGGAACTCCTGTATCCCAGGACTCTGGAAATGTCTATGTGAACTGAAAATTCAAATATGAGCATAGTTTTTGCCTTCAAGGTGTTCACAATCTCATGGGGACAACAAACAGATAACTAATAAGGCAGAATGTGAAAAGAGATACAGAAATAGAACTCCATGAGGATGCAAAAGACAGAAATAGATTCTGGTCTGGGCACTCAAGGAAGGCTTTTTGGAACAACTGAGCTTTTTAATAGTTGAGCCAGTCAGATTCTGAGCTACTGAGACAGAGGGAACAGGAATGGCACAAGAAAAGAATGAGACCAAAAAATAAATAAATAAATAAATAAATAAATAAGCAAGCAAGCATGCTGGAGAGTACTCAAGGGAAAACAGGTCAATGTGGCTACAGCAAAAGGTACCCCTAGGTGTATGGGGAAATGTTTAAAGCCCACTTGTCAAGAGCCTAAAATGCCATGGTAATGAGCTTGATCCTTATTCTGTAGGCAATGTCAAGCTGAAGGTTGCAAAACAAAGTATTGATATGGATCTAAAAAGTTAAAACTAAAACAACAAATTCTCTTTTCAATAAAATTAGACTATAATTTCATAAATTAAACAGATGGCAGAAAGAAGCAGCAGAAATGAAGACTGAAAAAGTCATAGATACACACCAGTCTATGAAAAGAACAAGGATTAATTAATAACCACACTGGCGACAAGATTAAATTTTTTAAAACTTTTCTTCTTAAATGTCACATTAGTACTACTATTTCTAATGATGAAACATTTTTATATAGATATGTAACAAGAAAACTCAAAACAAGAATCATTTTAATGTAAAAGAATTCCATGTTGTTAAGAACTGTCTACTCCATAAACAAAATATTAGGGGTCCAACTCATTTAATCTCAACTTAAATACAAAGTTTCCAAGTATAGTATACTGTATATTATGGCAAATTATATATTGAAAAAATAATCTGCCTTGAGCCCTCATATCTAGAGATTTAACATTAAAGTGAACATGTAAGAGCTCATCTAAAGGGGCGCCTGGGTGATTCAGTGGGTTAAAACCTCTGCCTTCGACTCAGGTCATGATCCCAGGGTGCTGGGATGAAGCCCCGCAGGGCTCTCTGCTCAGCGGGGAGCCTGCTTCCCCCTCTTTCTCTCTGCCTGCCTCTCTGCCTACCCGTGATCTCTGTCACATAAATAAATAAAATCTTTGGGGAAAAAAAAAAAGAATATTTTTTAAAAAAAGAGCTCATATAAATAATTATGTACACGGACAAAGAGACCCGCCCCCCACAATTAATCTGTAAATTCGTTTCTGCTACTCAAAACAGCACAAAGTGGGGAAAGGGGTACGACAAACTTACCAAGTGAAGTTTGTCCCAAGACAAACTTACCAAGTGAAGTTTGTCCCAAGAACTTTCTCTATTAGAAGGTTTCACAAGTCAATCTGCAAAAGAAAAACCAATAGTTTTACAAATATCCTAAGAATCAAGTTAAGCCACTTAAAGCTCTCCACAAGACTTTTCTCTACAAGTTAAAATGCTGTGACAACATATTTTTTTAAATTATTTATGACTATTTAGTCAACAACAACATAATTATGACTATTTAGTCAACAACAAATTTTAGAGTGCTTAATTGCCCAAAATGAGCCCAGTCAGGACTCAGGATGCCTTTAGAAATTACAGAACTATTCAGACAGAACTTTCCAACAACCTATAGATACTCCTATATATGGGTTTTTCCTCAGTCAATCATCATTTCTGATGGTTTCTCAGCTAAACCTTTGCCACTACATGAACCAGTACTTTAAAAAAAGAAGATCATATGTCTAGACTTAAGACTTGGTAACATAAGGTGTTTTGTACACACAACTGGCTTCTACCAAGGGATTTTTTAAAAGATTTTATTTATTTGTCAGAGAGACATAGAAAGGAGAGAGAGTACCAGCAGGGAGAGCAGTGGGCAGAGGGAGAAGCAGGCTCCCCAGTGAGCAAGGAGATCGATGTAGGACTAGATCCCAGGACCCCAGAATCATGACCTGAGTGGAAGGCAGACACTTAACCAACTGAGTGACCCAGGCATTCCTAACAAGGGATCTTTTATGTGTAAGAAAAAAATCAAGGTGGAACGAGTATGATCAAACACAAATAAATTTTGTTACAACTAGGCACCAATCTGATCTTTACAAAGATAAAATACCTAATCGATTTTTTTTTTTTTAAGATTTATTTGAGAGAGAGAGAGACTGCACAAGGGTAGGGACAGAGGAATAAAGAGGAAGAATCTCAAGCAGACTCCCTGCTGAGCACTCCCCCAAGCCCAGGTGCCCCATAACAGGATTCCTTTGTAATGATTTCTCTCAGTATTTGCAGACAACTCATTCTTTTGGGCTGTTAGAGGACATGAAATCACATAAACAAAACTGTGTAAAATATTAAAATCTTAAAGGAATCAGTCAACATAGCACATTACATCCATAACTTCCAGAAAAACAGTTTTAATGGGGTAAGAACCAAAAAAGGGAGGCTAAATATGCAATAATAAAGTGTTTTAACCATTTTACAAGTAGGATTGTTTGTCTCCCGTAACTTCTAATTTAAATTTTATAACTTAGAGGCCATATTAACCACATACTATATGGGAAATAAAGCTGTTAATAATTTACGACTTGAGATACAAACCATATTAAGTATCAAGTATTAGTTTTTTGTTTAAAGATTGTATTTATTTGACAGAGAGAGAGCGAGCTCAAGTAGGCAGAGTGGCAGGTAGAGGAAGAAGGAGAGGCAGGCTCTCCACTGAGCAGGGAACCCAACGCAGGGCTTGATCCCACTGGGATCATGACTTCAGCCAAACTCATAAGCTTCAACTTAACCGACTTAGCCACCCAGGCACCCCTCAAGTTTAGTCTTATTGTTTTAAAAGGTACAACACAATACAGAAGAAAAGTTGGAGGTCTGTAAATCTGCAGGACCTTTTCTTGCTAGAATATAATTTTTGCTAAGCACTTAAATACTAAAATACATATTATAATTTCTTCCTTTTAAGTTATGTCAGTAGGTACATTATACTATGATTTTTTTAAGATTTTATTTATTTATTGAGAGAGAGAGCACAAGCAGAGGGAAAAGGCAGAGGGAAAGGGAGAAGCAGGTTCCCTGCTGAGCAGGACCCTGAGACCATGACCTGAGCCAAAGGCAGATGCTTAATCAACTAAGCCACCTAGAGACCCACTACCTAAGACTTTTACTTTAGGATAATAAAGAATTGCTTGTTAAGAAGAACTGCTTGGTCTCTTTGTCTTTGACTTAAAAAAAAAAAAAAAAGATGCAATAATGTATATCAAGACACATTTCACATAAAAAGTATTACAAACAGGGGCGCCTGGGTGGCTCAGTGGGTTAAGCCACTGCCTTCGGCTCTGGTCATGATCTCAGGGTCCTGGGATCGAGCCCCGCATCGGGCTCTCTGCTCAGCGGGGAGCCTGCTTCCTCCTCTCTCTCTGCCTGCCTCTCTGCCTGCTTGTGATATCTGTCAAATAAATAAATAAAATCTTTAAAATATATATATATATATACTGGGGGGAAAAAAAGTATTACAAACAAAAAAGGATGAAACACAGCTCATTGTAACTCAGCAAGTGTCAGGATACTACAAGGTTAACTGCCCAGTGACATGCATGTGCTCAGAGTTCAGGGGAGAACAGCGCAGGGAGACTTCAGAGCAGATGAAGACTCTTAACTGCGTTTTATAGACTAGAACGGATCTAAATAAAGAGAAAAAAAGGATAGGGATAATTCAAGAGAGAATAGCTATTAATACCACAGTAGGAGGAAAACATGACATTTTTGAGAAATAGAGGTCAGAATATCAAGAGAGTTCAAGAAGAGAAGACTAGAAAGGCAGGACACAACTGTGGGCCTTCAATGTCAGGGTAAGGAGTCAGATTTAATTCAATGGCACGAAATCAAGAGCTTTATAAACAGGAAAAACCACAAAAGTGGTGGTGTTAAAACAATAGCAAGCAGCAAGCTGAATGGTCTGGAGGGGAAAATTGACTTAGGATGTTCGTGAACTAGTAGTTCAGATATGAACTGCTAACAGCCTAATATCTCAACTGTAGCAGAGGAAATGCAGGGGAAAACATCAAAGTGAGTAAAAGCATAAACTTCCTGAGCTTAGTAATTGATTAGAAATGGGAAAAAAAGCAGCAGAGCAAATTGTCAAAGGTAACTCCAAAATGTTAACGCCTGGGGTTAGTGGAAAAAGGATAATATCATTAAGAAATGAAAGGTAGGGGCGCCTGGGTGGCTCAGTGGGTTAAAGCCTCTGCCTTCGGCTCAGGTCATGATCCCAGGGTCCTGGGATGGAGCCCCACATTGGGCTCTCTGCTCAGCAGGGAGCCTGCTTCCCCCTTTCTCTCTGCCTGCCTCTCTGCCTATTTGTGATCTCTCTCTCTCTGTCAAATAAAGAAATAAAATCTTTAAAAAAGAAAGAAAGAAATGAAAGGTAGGATGCCTAGCTGGCTCAGTCAGAAGAGCATGCAACTCTTGATCTTGGGGTCATGAGTTTGAGCCCCACACAGGGTACAGAGATTACTTAAAAATAAATAAACTTAAAAGAAAAAAAAAAAAAGAAAGAAATGGAAGGTAGTTTCAAGGAAGCAATGTCAAGTAGATGTATATCCAGCAGGTGGACGGTAGGAGGGATTAAATTCAAGAGACAGGTCAAGTCTAGGGGTAATAATGAATTGATTTAATTCAAGGTGCTAAATTTAATTCAAGGAAATCACTATATCTACTATAAAAATCATTTGACATGTTTTAAGTTACTGGATAATTTTTTTTAAGATTTTATTTATTTATTTGACAGACAGAGATCACAAGTAGGCAGAGAGGCAGGCAGAGAGAGAAGGGGAAGCAGGCTCCCTGCTGAGCAGAGAGCCCGATGTGCGGCTGGATCCCAGGACCCTGAGATCATGATCCAAGCCGAAGGAAGAGGCTTTAACCCACTGAGCCACCCCTTAAGTTACTTGATAATTTATTCTGTCAAACATATAAGAAGTCCATCAATACAGAAATGTTTGTGTAAAGTTTCCACAGTGTGTAAAGTTCCAAGAGACACACCAAACAACAGGTAGTTTAAACAAGAAGGTTCAGGCAGGTCTGCTCAATGCTGGCCATGACTCTTCTTCCCAACAACTACGATCAAAGAACTACTTGGTTGGAAACAAGTATGTCATTGTGAAATACTGCCAACATCAACGACAACAACAACAAAAAACTGGCCACGCCTCTTGGGACTATTTGCCAGATAAAGGCCATGCAGAGGTGAGTCTGAAAGAAGCTCTCTGGTGCCATAAGCTGCCTGTCAGTGACAGCAGCAGATATCCTATGATACAATCATGTATACACATGCCTCACAGAGTAACAGCACTTAGGTTTGGGTGACGCTGAATATATACTGAATATATTTAAAGAAGTACCAGGTGGCTCAAGTCTATTAAATGCCTGCCTTTGGCTTCCGTCATGATCCCAGGGTCCAGGGATCCAGCCCAGCGTCAGGCTCCCTGCCCAGGGGGGTGACTCTGCTTATCTCTACCTTTCTCTCTCCCCCTGTAACCCTCCCTGTGCTCCCTCTCTCCCTCTCAAATAAATAAAATCTTTTTTTTCCCCCTAAAGGTCAGGGGGCAGGGGGGAGGAACGACAGACGAATGAATAGACGGACCCCATTAGTTTCAACAGGGCTAAGAAGCACAACAATCTGGGCCTTTTATATAATAAAAGAATTCAAACCACAAAAATAACCAGATTGAAATAAAAGGCATCCAAACTGTCAAAAAAGAAGTCAAACTCTCACTCTTTCCAAATGATATATGATACTTTATGTGGAAAACCCAGAAGACTCCACCCCAAAACTGCTGAAACCCTTATAGGAATTCAGTAAAGTGTCAGGATATAAAATCAATGCACAGAAATTTCTATATACCAACAAGACAGATAAAAGAGAAATTAAGGAGTCGATCCCATTTACAACTGCACCCAAAACCGTAAGATACCTAGGAATAAATCTAACCAAAGAAGAAACAATCTGTAGTCAGAAAACTATAGAATACTCGTGGAAGAAATTGAGGAAGACACAAAGAAATGGAAAAACGTTCCATGCTCATGGACTAGAAGAACAAATATTGTGAAAATGTCTATGCTACCTAAAGCAATCTACACACTGAATGCAATCCCTATCAAAATACCATCAAATTTTTTCAAAGAAATGGAACAAATAATCCTAAAATTTATATGGAACCAGAAAAGACCACAAACAGCTAGAGGAATGTTGAAAAAGAAAATCAACGCCAGGGGCACCTGGGTGGCTCAGTGGGTTAAAGCCCCTGCCTTCAGCTCAGGTCATAATCTCAGGGTCCTGGGATCAAGCCCCGCATCAGGC